AAGCCAATCAGGGGTCGCCATCAATACGAGATTCGAACTCCTACCGTTCCATATCTGTGTGCTGCGTCCCACCTCCTCCCCTTCTCTCTCTCTCTCGTGTTGACTCCAAGAAAAGAGATAAAAAGGTATAGTATTAAAAGAGATAATTTATATTATAAAATGTAACATGCACGCAAATGCACGCACACATAAAAAACACTTGAATACAAGCAGGCCTCTCTGTCACAAACACACACAAACACACACTGACACTCCCATCAATATTTTAGCATCTAATTCCCCCAGCAGAGGTCTGGGACAAAGGTGGTGTGCACTCACGCCCTCGTGTGTGTATGTGAGTGTGTGTGTGTGTGTGTGTGTGTGTGTGTGTGTGTGTGTGCCCCCCTGTGTGTGTGTGTGTGTGTGTGTGTGTGTGTGTGTGTGTGTGTGTGTGTGTGTGTGTGTGTGTGTGTGTGTGTGTGTGTGTGTGTGTGTGTGTGTGTGTCAAACATATCCGGTTTTATAGCGCACAGTGACAGAAATAGGTGTGCAGAGGATTTCTTTTTAAATACAATGTTGACAGAGGCCCCTTTCTCACCTGAAACAATTACGGCTTGTGGGCGTGAAAGTTCCCCCCAACACTTTATGGGGCATTCGTTGATTAGCCTGAACAATATGTTCAACACAACAATCTGTGAGCCCAAATCCACTGGGAGCGGCAGACTGGAAGGGCTCTAATGGCCCTGCTGTGGACTAATATTGAACCCATAGGGCGATCAATTGCAAGTAACTTTCTGGGTCAACCCAAATGAGGGTGACACGAGAAAGGCTTTCAACTATGCAAAAGGACGTTTTTACCAATTCAAATGTCCAGAGAACTTGAAACTTTAAAAAGAGAAGAAGAAGATGAGCTATGTCACATCGTTCTATTTGGCCTGGTGGCAGTTCTGTCCCCAAAGGTCGCGGCTCTGAACGCAGGGTTATTGTTGTGAAAGAGAACTAAATGGTCTTGTATAAACAAACAAAAATATGACATTGCTGGTTCTGCTTGTGATCCATAGGGATGAAATCATGAAACTGTTCATCCTGAGTCTGACAGCATTAACATTAAATCATTGGAGTACTCTTTTACTGGACCTTTGTTGAAGTTTGTTCGAAGATGAAGCAATATTAATTATGCTTGAATCAATTTAGAAACAAATACATATGCAATCAATACGAATCAGTCTAGTAAACATTCAAATGACCCGTTGTACAGCGGCCACTGTGTGGAACCATCCTCTCATGGTCCCTTCAGTTGTTGGGGACTAAAACAAAGCCAAAAGAGCATTACATTTAAACTTTACAGAAATGTTTTCTCAGCGTTTAAACAAGCAGTTGTTTGCTGAAGCCATTCCTGGGAGAGTATCTGAATTCAGCTTTCAGAGACTGACTATGACACAACCTCAACCACACCCAACGCAAAAAATAATTGGAATATTTACATCAAGATAAGCGTACAAAAGCTCTGCGAGTTCCCAGGGAGGGCCGGCAGTCTGCTCAAATCCACCGGGAGTAAATACAACCTGACTTTGATTAGGAATTTCACTCTTTATCGTGTTTGATTCATACAAAGCAAAGGTTTTGCTACCGTGTGATGATTAAAAGAAAAAAAACAATACACGGAGTTCATAGAAGAGGAATTTGTCAAATAATACAACACAACAGTTGTGTTGTTTTTAGATGTTAGAAATGTACGTATTACTACCCTATCTGCTTATTAGTATTATTGTTAAAATGATTTAATTTTTATCTGCCAGAGACGATGCTGTTTTTGTTGTTAGGTCTGCTTTGATATTTGTGAAATGTGTGATTGTCATAAGCAGTGTACACTCTACTTGTATCTAAATTGAGCATAATATTCCAAAATGAACATCATGCTGTGTTGAAGAAAATGATAAACTAGAGATTGAAGCCATAAACGTATGTTTACTGGGGGAATAAATTAAGCTGTATATTTATTTTATCATAGAATTCTATACAATCTGATTTATTTTTTTAACTGGTCAGTGCAGAGAATGCACACTTCAGTATCGGTTTCACTCAGCAGAACCCATCAGGAAAGCACATCATAACTATGGCCAACAAACCAACCTGGTTTGGAGGTGTTCACATTATTTGGACAGACATCCCTCACAATAAAGGAAACATCTACCATTAACTTACACCACTAAGTGCTGCTTTTGTTCCTGTTGAATCACAAAAAGCAAACAGTTGTGAGCGTGTTGTGTCTGTGCTCCCAGTGTGGGAGCAGTGTTGACATATCACGATGCACTTCTGGAGAAACCTTGCGAGCTGCACTGCAGAGCAAGAGTCCCCGGCGGCCCCCTTTACTACCACGAGGAGATTATGCATAAAGCCCCGTGCCTCTATAAGCCCGCTGACTTTGTCCTTACCCGTCAGTGTGATCTCAGCTCGCCCTCTCCTTCTTCTGTGCTCCTCGTGTTGCACTTCTGTTCAAAGACGTCCACCTCTGCGGATGGAGGGATGAAACCGCGGCGTAGAGAAAGACACAGTCAACCCACTGCAGAGGGAGCTGTAAGAAAGAGAGGGACACCATCATCTCCATTTCCCCGCCAACCCCAGACCTTCATCTCTTCTTTTCTTTTTTCTCTTATCTGCATGACTCTCTCTCTCTCTAACTTAAAGATCTTTGCCTATTGGTTTCACTCCTTACTTCTTATTCTCTTCTTCTGCTCTTTCCTCCTTCTCTCCCCTCTCTCGTCCGTGTGAAGGTGTAGAGGGGTGGGGGAGAATGACTCCCTCCTCCTCCTCCTTTCTTGTTGGTACGGCAAGCAGCTCATTCACTGCCACTGATCCCTCACAGAGAGTCAGTGGGGGGTGATGAAGACAGTAGGGGAGGCTGTAATTACACACACACACTGCAGTGGTGGAAAGTACACTTACTTTAGTACAAACACTGAAGTCAATGTACTTGTATTTACTTGAGTATTTCCCTTTATTATTATTATTATTCTTTCATTCAACTACATCTTTAAGATACCTTTCAGATTATAGTCCCCCCTCATGCCTCTGTCTGCCGAGATATACCACACTCATTTTCAGCTTCATACTTGTATTTTGGATTAAATACTTTAATTATTCTCTTTTTTGCTAAACTGATTTGGAATACGATTGTATATAGAACAAAAGACTATTCTCAGATTCTGGATTTCTAAAGATATCTCTTCTACGGACGAGTGGCATAAGGGGATTTTGGAAGTTCTTCCTTTGGTAAAGTTGACCCGCACCGTGCATGACAATGTCAAAGGATTCATCAAGATATGGCAACTAGTTTTAGACTGGGTTGACCTGGGTTGACCAATCAAAATATACTCACGCCGAATGCTGCGTGAATATGATATTATATGTTGTTATTATGTGTTTGTTATTCCTTTTTTTTTCTGTCTTGTCTATTTTTTTCTCTTGCATTATATTCCTAGAATTCTAGAGTGTTGTTTAAGTTAAACAATCAAAATAAAATTATACATTTTTTTAGTGCAAGTGCCACCTAATAAAAAGCCCAGTCTGCTGCTGCGATTGGCTTGCCTTTTTGCTCCCTGTCCCAGTGCAACCAGTGCACTCCGGCTCCCTGTCCCAGTGCAACCAGTGCACTCCGGCTCCCTGTCCCAGTGCAACCAGTGCACTCCGGCTCCCTGTCCCAGTGCAACCAGTGCACTCCGGCTCCCTGTCCCAGTGCAACCAGTGCACTCCGGCTCCCTGTCCCAGTGCAACCAGTGCACTCCGGCTCCCTGTCCCAGTGCAACCAGTGCACTCCGGCTCCCTGTCCCAGTGAAACCAGTGCACTCCGGCTCCCTGTCCCAGTGCAACCAGTGCACTCCGGCTCCCTGTCCCAGTGCAACCAGTGCACTCCGGCTCCCTGTCCCAGTGCAACCAGTGCACTCCGGCTCCCTGTCCCAGTGCAACCAGTGCACTCCGGCTCCCTGTCCCAGTGCAACCAGTGCACTCCGGCTCCCTGTCCCAGTGCAACCAGTGCACTCCGGCTCCCTGTCCCAGTGCAACCAGTGCACTCCGGCTCCCTGTCCCAGTACAACCAGTGCACTCCGGCTCCCTGTCCCAGTGCAACCAGTGCACTCCGGCTCCCTGTCCCAGAATAGACCAGCGGCGACATCTAGTGGGGAGAATCAAGAACGACAGGGTCACTTCAGTGAAGGTGAAGCTTCCTCACACTGGCAAAGTCAAAATAACATAAAACACAGGGGGGGTGTCATTGGTCATCATAATTATTAATCATTTAAAATGTTAATTTGTTAGTATTTTCTTTAGGTAATCTTTATGCCTCTGACTAATTTTCAAGGCTTCATCTTGTTCCTCTCAATTATGAATATTGACATACTGAACTTTCACTAACAAAGTTATTGCCTTTCTGTATTTAAAGATAGCTAGTTAGACAATTTTAAACAATTTCCCTGAATTTTACTTGTATATTGTGAGTGTTATTATTCGGTCTAATCTGAAATATAAAGATAATAGTCGTGATTATTAATACATTATTACACATATAAACATACATACACACTTGGATTTCTGTGGATAAAACTGGAGTAGATTATATTGCCGCTATAATAGTTTGTGATTTTAATTTGGTAGACAGATCATTCATTTGTCCTCAGGTTTCCCTTCAAAACATTATTTCTAAAAAGATCAACTTATGTCCAGAGTTCAGTAACCCGGGATCAAAACGGTTTGAACATTGAAAATCTTTAGACGTCCCTTTGATTTGATTTCTCAATGAATCCTCTCGGCCTGAACAAACTCACCTCTGATGAGGCAGCAATGTTCTTAAAAAGGATCCATCAACCTGTTAAAAGTTAGTTAATTAAAAGCTAATATAATGCAACTTCACAATGAAACATCAACATTTGTTTTAGATTCATCTCATGTGGAAATCAAGATTTTGTCAAAAAGCTCTTTTCTTCCATCCAGAGAACCACGGAGTAACGATCTGGACACGTGTCGTCCTACATCATTGGACCACAAACTGGGTCTGCCCTTTTTATTCTATAGAGTTTGGGAATACAGTTAGTATAGTGACTTTGTACTCCGGTGTTTACATGACTATCACCATTTTCTATTTTCCATCCACATATCCTATTTTTGGTCTGTTTGCAGCTCTGAAGGTTGAAAGGAGGTCAGTTAAGAGACACATGAAAGCACTCTGAGGCGAACCACAGACATGGAAGTCACATCAGGAGTGGGGGGACACAGGGGGACAAGAGGAGGACACAAAGGGGAGGCGTACAGGGATTTTATCATTCATAAATATATTAAGAGAAAAAAAAACTCTTCAATCCAACCGATGAGTAGATTGCAGAGAGCACAAAAAAAAACGCACTGACTCAATAATTAGAGCCCATTTGTTGAAATTTAACAATGAAGTGCAATAACACTCTTTTAACACTGAGGGCATGTCGATAAATGAAAACTTGAACAAATAATAAAATATTTGGTGACTAAATTATTCCATTTCACTCCCTGAAAAGAAAAACATCAATATGAAATCAGATTGTAAACTTCCAATGGCAGGTATGTCTTTAATTAGTATATTCAGACAATGTAAACTGCAACATGTAAACGGGCTAAAGTATTGTTGCTTTTATCCAGAGTGAAATACCATATATCAAGAAGAAAAGCTGATTTATCAATCCAATACACCAGGAGATTCCAGATTAAGGGAGAAACCCGTGAACAATGATACGGCAGACGTCCCAGAAGGCGAATGCCAGCTATTATCACAATGGCACATTTATATTGTAGAACCTCTCAACAAGGCAATACAGAGTGGTTTACAGGAGTCCATATAAAGAGAGTAAATTAAAATAAAAGGTGAAATAGACATCAAAGAGTAGAAGACACATGACACCAAGTAGTGGTTGATAGACCTAAGACATAGACTGTTCATATGCACACTAATAATATACTATTGTCCTGAACAAAAGTATGAATTTGACATCATGTAAACGACATATTCAGTTTGGGTATCCGGAATGGATTCTTTCCCATTAAGACATGTGCTGTGCAGATATTAATAGTGTTTTAGGAGCATTCTTTGGACATGTACAGCGCATTTTGAATATTTATCCCAATCTGTGTTTTTAAGGCAGTTTGCAACACACATGCGCTTTTCTATTTATGGCCAACCCTGAGTTGAAAACAAACTGACTGGCGATGGGGTGGAGAGGCACGCCCAAAAGACACATAAACCAAAGTGGTTCTGTTTTAGAGGATAACACACTTCTTAAAGGCCGGGATGGTAATCATGAGAAGCTAAAAAAACAATGTTTTGCAGACGTAAATGTATATTTAATATTTTAGGGTGATCAGATTCACCTAATTTACAAATCATTGTGTAAACAGACGCTGACGAGCACACGGTTAAAGCAAAATGAGAGAATCGGGTTTGATTTCCACATGTCTGCTGGATGTGTAATTGTAAAAGTAAACACACAAAATGTAAACCCTCTGTTCGTGCCAAATATTTAACCCTCTCGCGGAGGTAAACCAGCAACTTGGAAAACTAAAGCTGACGGAAGGTTTTTTTCCGTGGCCTGTCTCAGATGCTGGTGAGCACCGGGCTGGTCACCATCGCCACAGTGAGCGTCCCCGGCAGGTCGTTGTCACGGCGATCGCCCTTGTCCCTCAGGTGGAGCGTCTGCTGGAATTCTCCCTGCTCGGTCGGCAGCGTCACCTGACCCAGGAAGGAGTCCATCAACGCGTTGTGGTTGTAGATCTGAAAGGAAGAGAGGAATCCAGACTGGATGTGACGACAAAATACTACTAACTAATTTAGTAGCAGTAGTTACACTAGGCACTTGTACTTGTACTTTACTTGAGTAGTTGTATTTATGCTACTTTTTATTTTATACTTTGCATTATTTTGACTTTTGAAAGGTCCATATTTGTCCCACAGCTCTAGTTACTTTGCCGATTAATCCGTCCATAACTACAATGCAACAATAAAATATGTATTGTTCTGAAATAAGCCATTGTGCATGAGTGGGTTACGTGATACTTAGATATGGCCTATTTTGATTTTTCCTCGTGTTTTACATAATGATTTGAATACGTGAATGTGTCTGTATTTCTACACAGACGATATTTTAACGAAAAAATGATAATGCTTTGTCAGCCTCTCTGTCACACAATCAAACACACAAACCTCAATTCTGATTGGCTGGTTGGCTTTCTTCCTGTAGAAGAGCCCCTTGGTGTCAAAGTTGGGGGCACGAGTGTTTTTATGGACCGGTGAGCGAACCTTCTCTCCTTCACAGCGGATTATCACGTAGGGGTCCGACACTGAAGACACAAACACAACATTTCAGTCAGTTTCATAAACTTGATCAATTATTGTGCCATTTAAGATGACAAAATGATATAAAGCTTCTGTGGTACAGAAGCAAAACACTTCTCCACCGTAACTTAGCATCTAAATTCTTCCAGGTAACAGGTAGCAGTTAGCAAAGACTATGAAAAGCACTGTAGAAGAAAGATGCAGAATGATTCAGGCACAGCTGGGTGGCACCAGTGGACTAGTGTCAAGTACGGTACTTAAGTACAATTTTGAGGGATTTGTACTTGTACTTATTATTTTTATTGTATGCTATTGTATTATGTACTCAATATACATTTAATAAGAATACTTTAGCCAATAGTAACTTACTAATAATTAAGCTATTAAATAAATAGTATTATTAAAAATTGAGCAAGCCAAATAAAAACTTTATCATTGTGATATATACATTCATGTATCATTAATCAATTATAATCCAATAAACAATGTCATAAGATGGGTAAATCTACAGCCAAGTTGGGAGACTTTTAACCAACCGCAGTTGGTTAAGTCACCCAAAATATGCAAATAATCATCACAAAGCTCAATGTGGGTTACAAACACAACACAATAATAATAACTAATAAAGTGCCTGAGAAACTCAATTATAAAATAATGTAATATAAATACAAACATTTATAATACATTTTGTATACTTAATATTCATTAAAAGAATACATTCAAATGATAAAAAAAGTAATTTTAAAATGTATTCTTTAATCTGTTAAATATCTAGATTCATGAAAAAACTAGAACTTACCTCCATTAGAGTCTTGTCCTGCGAGTCCATTCGCACTCAGTATGTGGACCTGAGTGACCAGAGAGGGATAGCCACACAATCCAGACCAGCAGGTCTGTGGAGGCTCGTGTAGGGTCAACTCCCTACAGGACAGACACACAGAGAGACAGGCAGACAGACACACACAGATATTGGAAAGAGACACCTGTATTAATTATTGTGTTCATTTCTTTTAGGACCCCATGTTTATGTGGTCGTTAGCTTTGCTTCAAGCTATGTCAGCTGTGAGCGTAGGTGTAAACTGCCCCTGTGGTTCAGTTTAAAAGAATTACTGTGTCTTAAAAAATGCCTTGTAATGCAGCCAGATGGGATTGTTGCTGAGGTGTAATGTAAGCCTGCTGGGGACCAGGGGACATATTCACACAACATGCTAAGAATACAAGGGAGAGGCAATCCAGAGGAGTCCTGAGTCCCTGAGACCTGCTCTCATGTTCGTTCAAAAGACAACACAATGAACTTTAAAAACTATACCCTGATTGCAGCCCGTTAAAAAGAATTCAGTCTGATCACCAACACGTCACAAAATCCCAAAATACTGGAGATGACGATTGGCACAACCTTTTGCTACTTAGACAAGAAGGCAGTTCTAATGATCTCAGATCTGTTGTTAAGTTCATTAGGTCCAAATTAAATGATCAGCAACTGCAATAAAAACATAAATGCAGGATATTTCATGGCTACTGATGTAGTATACTTTATAATAATCACAAATAAATCTGGTGATCTGTTTTTGTGAACATGTTGAAACATCTATTTACTTAACATTTTACTTAGTTACTTATTAAGCAAACATGAAACTATCTAAATATAATTGAATGTAATTTTGTTCCTGACACACCTCCGCCGTCAGGTTTCATTTTCCATTCCAAGATTTTTAATATCACTTTTCATTTTGAAATTACCATTTCACAATATCACTTTGTTTTGGTTTTGGTAAATATCCAACAATGCTGCTGGAGAACAAACAGTGAAACCACAAAAACTCAAACAAAAGGGAACCCAGCCAATCCCTACTCACTGGCAGTCAGACAGCACGTCGGTGAAGACGCGGAGCAGGAAGTCTCCCTCCAGACCGGGGTCAAAGGTCGTGGGTATGATGACGTACCGCCCCTCTTTCAGCTCGATGCGTTTGAACACAGACCGTGAGTTGATGTAGACGCTCCCGCCAACCTTCTGCTGGGTGACGTGCATTCGGTAGATCCTGTTCAACTCCACCTGAATGCAGAGAGCTTGCACATTGTAAAAATGCGATTGAGGATGTGATTGGCTACAGATAGGTCCTCGTTATTACATTACAAGTCATTTAGCTGACGCTTTTATCCAAAGCGACTTGATTACATTTTTAACCCATGGCTTTTTTACATTTTTGCCCAGGGAGCAATTAGGGGTTAGGTGTCTTGCCCAGGGACACTTCGACTTGTGACATGGGGCAGCCGGGACTCGAACCACCAACCTTGCAGTTCCCAGCGCACCCGGTCTACCCCCTGCGCCACGACGACCCTCTAGACCCATCGTTGATGAGGGGTCTCAAAAAAAAACCACACAAATGTGGAGCGATCCACAAACAAATCGACATTATAATTCATTCATATGTGCCTTAGAATGTATTTGTAAATCCTTCCGTGTGCATTTGTAAATCAAATATATTTGTGAATTGTTCTGTGTGCATTTGTGAGTCTTTCTGTTTGCATTTGTGAGTCTGTGTGCATTTGCAAATATGGACACTGATCTGACCCCATAGACTTTGAGATGACATCTGTAAATGTCCTGAACACACAGACACACGGTGAGCTGACCCTGTGTATGTCGAAACCAATAGCCAGGTTTTCTCCCCGTCCATCCCTCAGAGTTGCTCGGCGGTCTTTCTGCTGCAGACAGATCAGAACCTCGTCCTCTGGCTTCTTCACGTCAAACATGTACTGCAACACAGAAGAAAAATAAATACATGTCTCACGTTGGCAGTTCCGTCGCAAAGCCACGACAGATCTGAGAACTCATGACTCAGAGGCAGAGCGCCACACCTGCGGGTTCTGTAGGAAGGACTGCTTGTGGTTGCCGCAGCCCCCGGCCCGGTTGAGAAGCGGGTCGTCGTGGCGCCGCCAGGAGCCCCGCTTCACAGCCTCCTCCCAGGTCTTGTGGAAGCTCAGGTAGGATGTATTGATGAGGCGACACAGGATGAGGTCCGTGAAGTTAACGATGAAGTCATCGAACGTCATCCTGCAGGAGGGAAGAGGGAGGCGTCGCTGGGTATTCTGGTATTTACAGTGAGCACCATTTACTGAAGAAATAAGTGTGAACTCAATAGGACAGAAATGACCTAAGAAACCGTTTAGTGTTTCCCCTTGCGTCACGCGTTTTCCTCATAAGGTGAAAAATAATTTTAAGTAATTTATTTACTTGTTTTTAAGTCAAGTCAAGTCATTTTATTTTGTATAGCCCAAAATCGCAAATTACAAATTTGCCTCAGAGGGCCTTACAGTCTGTACACATACAACATCCTCTGCCCCGAAACCCTCCATCGGCACAGGAAAAACTCCCCAAAAAATGAAAAAAAACCTTACAAGGGGGAAAAAATTAATAATATAATGAAATGTTTGATGAATGAATCTGTGCTCATATGTTTTAAATTCCTAATGTTTAAACTTAATATGTCCAACTGAAGTCAAATATGCGGTCGTTTTTGTTTTTTTACGTCTCGTGTTCGGAGAACTAGTAGTTTGGCCGCTGCAGAATGACGTCAAAAACGTGTGTCTCCCGTCGCATCATAACTACTTTGCGTAGTGAAAGTGGAGTTAGATTCCCTAAACCTTTTCCTAAATCCTCATGAATCCCAGACCATCTTTCATTGACCCTGTGACGTTTTCCGCAGAGGTCAAGTAATAGTGGTTGGGAATATTCTTTAGTAGGTCATTTTTTTGACAATTCAAATCCCAAAACTCCAGGCTGCTGTTGTCTGCCAACAGGGGGCAGCGTTGAATTAAAACTTACCAGAACTCTCCATCGTCCTGCACTGTGACACCAATCCTCTCCCTCTCACTGGTACTGACCTTCTTCCACTCTTCAGAGCTGCAAACATGCAGAAAACTACAATGACATCAATGTTTTTCCGAACTGGGCAGAATTCCAAACACGGTTTGTTGTACCGTTCCCATGGACTATACACATGTTTGAATTGTATGTTCTCCCGACAGATTTCAAACATGCAAGAATATTCACTCCCACTAGTTCTACATTCTGTTCAGAGAACCCGGTCTGTGGTTCTCTGCCCCTCACCTGTCACTCCAAGCCCCGTTCCATTCTCTTTCTCCCCAGGGGTTCCTCATGCGGATCATAGTTAGTTTGTCCGACCGGAAGTAGGCCAGCAGGCCGTGGCCCAGCCTCACCCTGCGGACATCCGTCACCGCGTAGGCATGGCCCTTCACCAGGCCGCACGACAGCCTGGCCTCCATGTCGGCCGCAGTGGTAGCCTGGAGGGACACGGTGCCGGTCCAGTGAGTCTGTAAGACCGTTCCTAAATCCCGCCCTTCAATCATTCGCCCCTTTCCTCACCCGGATGGAGCAGCTGATGAGGCCTCCTCGGTCGTGGACCTTCAGGACCCTCTCGAACAGCTCGCTGCGCTTCTCTTCGTTGTCTTTCAAGCCGCTCTCCATCAGGTCCATCGGCTCTGATACACCGCCGGTGAAATCCACGAGTGCGTCGGCCGTGTTGCCGCCGTCGAGCGCCTCGTAGCATCCGCACATCCTAGAAAAGACATTAGCACTTATACACACAGACTTTCTATTCTATTATCAAATCGGTTTTGAGCAGCCGGAAATGCAGCTAATGTCAACGGTTTAATAACATTATATGTTTCCATATTTATATAGAAACCATTGGATTTATTTAAAATCACACATTTGAGAAGACTGATAAAATGCAGCTTAAATTCATTCTGGATTCAAAGTTCAGTTTACATTAATGCAACAAATATGGCCCAAATGAAAAACATGCTTTGTCCATTCTCTCTTTTTTTGTTTACAACTGTCACTGTATTTATATATATTATTATATTTAAAATTGTATTATTATTCTTTTGAACTCTAATTCTTCTCTTTAGGTCTTACTTGGCGTAGGCCTTTTCCACCAGCGCGCTCCAGAACTCGTTGCTGTCGTTGGAGTGGCAGTACACCAGCTCTCCGTTGGCCGTGGGCAGCCGGTCGTCAATCACCACGTCCACCCACTGACCGAAACGCCAGAACCGGAAGTGGAAGATCCCGGCGTAGAACTCCGGTTTCTCCTCATTCCACTCTTGATCCTTCCAGTCAGGGATCACCTAGGGAAGAGAAACAAAAGGACCACACAATCATCAACTGCTCCAAGCTCAAGTTTTATTACAAAACGTAAGTGTGATGGACTTCAGTAGAGAGGCAAAGTGTGTTAATGAGGTCTTTGCTCACTATGTACGATAATAGTCGATGCACTGACGCCCTAATTCCCAGATTGTGGTTGTCAAGTTTTGCAGAAAACTAAGTTTGAAACTAAATTCCACTATTTTAATTCCAAGTATTAGACCTAAATTTGAGGCAGAAAACTCACATTCAAGTGTAGATGTCTTGTGTCATCTAGTGAGTGGTCATCATGCCAAAAAAGATGCAATGGAAATAAATAACAAATGCTCTTGTCCTCTTTATTGTAACGTTTTGTACTCAAAAGGAGGATTAAAGTGTATTATGACAAGTTAATAGAATAGTTTCATTTCTTTTTTTAATTCAAATTTTGGAAAAAAACATTCATAAAACCAAATCATGTCAAAAGCAGTTGAACTTCAGCAATAATTTCTCCTTATTTAATATTTTACGGTTATATATTATTCTCCGTAAAAATGCAAATCCAAGGGCCATAAACTCAATCCCAATTATATTCCTTCATTCAGCGTTAGACAGAGAGGACCGTCTTCAAGAATATTACTTTAAATTCCCCTAAAATAATAAACACCTCTGACATCTATGCATAATCTACATATTCTAAGTTAAAAAAGGGAAAAATCAGCGCATCCACTCAGTTCCCCTTAATTAGCCCCGCGGATGTACACCATTTTTAACAAGGGAATGCCGTCCACTCATATCCTGAGCCAAGATCCCCAGTGACAACACACACACAGACCGTAACAATCCTGAGTGAACAGAGTGATATAAATAAATAAGTGCTCCATTGAGCTGCAACCAGTCGAGCTCCCAGAAGCCCTCAGGAAACTCCCAGAGTTACCTCTCGTACGTCACCAGTGCCTCCTGTTGCCTAGCACCCTCAGACATCACCCACCTCTGTAACGCCTTAAAAAAAACAAAAAAAACAAGCTAAGAGTATTTTTCATTTGATATTCAGGCATTTCAAACCAGATCCACATACAATAATTGAACTCATTAGACTAATAACGCTCAAAAATAATTACTCCATGATAGTTATGTGCTCGGATTAAATTGCGCTTTATAAAAACACATCCAGAAATAGATTATACTTTTGGAGAACACAAATATCAGCATACGGAGGACTGAAAGCTTGGCAGCACTGAACATTGTAATTGTAGTTAGTATTAGTATACTACGGATGAATTCCTGATGGAGGCTGTTCTGGCATTGATCCCTCCAGCAATGCTCTCCTTTACCGTCTGTCATGTGACTAATCAATGCGTCCTCACCAGTGTACCCTGTTGGCAGCAGGGGGAGGGAAACAAAAGTGAGGAAACTGCCACCGTGATGGAAATAGTTGAGAAGGGGAGGGGGGAGACGGCACGCGAAGAGCCTACGAGGAAAAGAGAGCAAGAGTGAAATGCGAAACTCTTCCCAGAGGCTGTGATCACAGCATCCGTACAGACAGAGCCGGACTCGCTCGCTCCTTCAACCCCAGGATTAGAACCTCCAGGTCGGACATGGACGGCGCCACAGCCCCCTCCAACACGCTGGTGCTGGTGTTTAAAGAAGATCACGCACTGACAGAGGTTTGCTTCTCTTACTGCATGTGTGCAATGTTCGTTTTCGACTTGAAAGAAAAATATAATTGCATATATTATTCAAACTAATGTGATCACCAAAGAATGTAAACAAGGCAGTTCTGACAGCTAAACGAGATGGTAAAATGGAAGATTTTCAGTCACTTTTTGGTAGATGCTCTTTTTCCATTTAAACTTTTCTCCCTGCTTTGTTGTCCTCATAACATCGGTTCTGGAATCTGCCCTGTTTTCTATATGTCGCCTGGTGCTTTGAATGTCAGCGATCAATAGCTCATCAGCAGAGCAGCACGGTGCCTTCGGTAACTATTCCAAGCGAGTGCCTGCTGCCACTGTGGAGGTCACTGCGGCTCCAATGTTATTGTTCGGTTTAGAAAAGCAGTTTTTGAGCAACAACGACCAGTCAGCTAATCAAAAGGAAACTCGGCAGAATTTTTTTTGACACTTGATTAATTTTTAATTTTCATTCATTCATTTTCAAGACCAAAAGCCAGAAACAAAACCGCTTTGGCTCACTTGAATGTGAGGATTTTTCTGATATACTGTCACACGTTCCAATTTTAGCTCTGATTAAAACAATTCATTCCTTTGTTTAGCAAACATAGGATGACATGTCCATCTTCTTATAGTCCTGAACAGCAAAAAGCTATAATGGCGAAACAGACTTTGTGGCTATCATTGAGTATTTGATTGAAATAAAAGTTATATCATAATAAGTGTGTGCGGAGTGCAGATGCAGATTCAGGAGGAGACTGACGACATCGAGAATCAAATTACCTTCTTGTTTTAGTAAATGATGTTCACAATCACACAAACCAGACTTTGGGGTCGAGTACACTATAATCCGGGTCGCGCCCCCAATGTGAACCAGATTGACATCGTGTCCTTGAACTGAACATCTGTGAGATCCCATGTGACACCTCTCTCTTCCTCTCCACCCTATTTCATCCGTCTCTCCCTGCGTGGGCCTCCACTTCCTCTGCAGATGATGCGTCTGCGCGTGTCCTCCCTGCAGCGCTTAGGGCAGAAGCGGCAGGAGGGCGAGCGCCTGCTCCTCCCCCACGAGGCCATTTACCGGCTGGACTTTCCCAACCAGGAGCTGAGCTTCTCCCGCTGGTACTTCTCCCTCGCTGCCCACGGCCGCGTTACCATCACTGGCATCTCCCAGCACTGGACCCCCGACCTCACCCACCTGATGACCCGTCAGCTCCTGGAGCCCATTGGCACGTTTTGGCGCAGCGCCGAGGACCCGGAGGATTCTCCGCTCAAGTGGCTGGAGGCAGACATGCAGGAGTTCGGGGAAAGGATCGCCGAGCTGGCCAAGGTCCGGAAGGTCATGTACTTCCTGCTCGCTTTCAAGGATGGCGCCGAGGCCGCCAACCTCAGCTGCTCGGTGGAGTTCACTCTCGACGAATGACCCCTCACTGTTTGTCAGTAGAATCTTTTTAGTGCAATATTTTTGTTTAATCTTTTACCTTTAGAAAAGAACAATTGAAGCTGAAATAAAAAAAAAAACTTTGGATCTCCTTAAATCAAAGAAACATTTTCTCTAAAAGTCATTTGCCCATCTCTTAAAGTGAAATGTTATAGTAAAACGATGCTTTGTGAACAATTTGTTTAATAAGGTTACCTTCCATTCTAAAATGTTTGCACAAAGAGCAAATGTTTAACAGCATCTCAATAGCCTAAAGTTTAGAGAAGCAGTTAAGAAGCGCTAAAGAAAGTATTCCTCACAAAACCAATCACAAATATATAGGAAAAACAAACAAATGCGAGATACCTATTTGCCTTTATTTCATTTAAATGGAACTAATCCTGTTTGCTTATTGGTGTTACTTATTTATTTTAACTTACTTAAAAGATAAATGTACAATAAACCTCATCAATTAATAACAAATAAAGATCTTATTTTTGTCATTCACACAGAAATGTGAGTGAGTTCATAAATTATCAGATTAGGTTTAAACTTCATATTCACCGTTAAATGCCAAAAGTTACGGCCAATACCATTTCCTCTTCATGGAAATACGTTTTTATCCTAAACTAGTAAACCTCATTGTTGCGCTAACATTAGCTGGACACAAGATGAGACTAATATGACATTAGAAGAGTTTTTGAGGGGACGGCCTCACCCAAACAGGCGGAAAGGGATTCGTGATTCATTTGGCTCCAAACTAAACTTCCTTTTGTAAATAAAACACTCATTCACTGATCAGCGCGATATTGTGAAAATTGTGTAGTTGTCCGCTATCTTTGTTCCATCTAACGAAGCAGCAGCAAATGGCATACAACATTCACACAAATCAATGGAGTCACATCCATTAAAGATCGACTGAAAGCTGTCTGTGCCTCTCTTTGGTGCCGGTTGTTCATGTTGTTGCTGGAAAGCGGAAGGAGGGAGGGCGGTATGGGAGGTGGGGAGGAGACTAGGAAACAAGGAGTGGTTTATAAACAATGTGATAAGAGCCTTTATTCCAATGGAAAGAATGTATTTTTCAGGTATCATTGAAATGAAATATAGCCATATACATATAGGGATGACCAACCTCTTATCTCTTGCTTTTAAGTAAACATAGTTACTCTGGAAGTTTTCACGAGCATGAGAAGATTTTGAATATAGGGAAAGGAGAAGAGGGAAAATAAGAAGTTGACATAGCGGAAGAGATTCAGTTTGAACTGCTGTGTTGAGGTTCTCATTCACATTCCTCTGTTTGGGATTTACAGTAACATCAGTGAAAACAAATAATGAGAATAGATATACCAGGTGAGATGAAATGACTACAGTATATAAGACAAAACAGTGTGACGCATCAATCGAACAGGGTTTGTTTTTGTGGTGTGGCTGTCAGGGCGAGCTTGGACAGAGATGACACACTCTCGCTGCCTTTAGAAGCCCAGCCCCTAGCAAATGTTGACAGTAGGGCTGAGCAGTATACTAGTTCGACCGGTACACTGGTTTGAAATTTCCTTTCAGTATAACATTTTTCACATACCGTCATAGCCGTAACAACTGATAGGGGAGGAAGGGGGCTCTGTGCCGTTTTGAGGTTTTGAAAAAACCAACGTAAGTTCGATCAGAAACCGATTTATTGCAAAGTTTGTTGAGCCGTTGTCATTGTGGCAACACTAGCAGCCACAGCAGCTAACACGCCAACAAGCTAACTCGCCGGCCAGTTGTGAGCGAGTTGGTGAATAGCTGCTCAGGTGGCCAGCAGTCCTTTTTGTTGTAATTGAACAAATGAGTTTACTCGGAAAAAAATATTGTGACACACCGCGATACTGACAGAATCATTCAAATTACAGAGATATTCATTTTTGCCCATACCGCCCAGCCCTATTCAACAAGAGCATTTCTGTGTACCGGCTAGAGTGAGTGACCCCGAATGTCTGTCTCTCTGACAGAAATGAAGCCGTGAACATGTTTACACCCACAGCACCCGGCCACAAGTTAAAAGAGCTCACAGTTTGATTCCAGTCAAACTTTCTCCCGCCCTGGAGCAAGATGCCGGCAAAACCGCATCAATGCGGACATGAGGGAAAAGATTATATATATATATATATATATATATATATATATATATATATATATATATATTATGATTTTGAAAGCCTGAAATAAGCATGAAAGTGCAACGTGATCTCCAAAACCTGTTCGTAAAAATGTATACGAAAATCTTGAACATACAAATTCGTAACAATACATACGAACTGGCGGTGGTTAACCACGCCCCTTGAGTGAACAACGTCTCTCCGCCATGTTGGATTTTTTGAGGGGGTTAGGGTTAGTATTCTATTCTTACAAGTTAACATTGATTTCTCGTTAAAAATGCAATCATAACACGTTTATTTTACATCGTTAGGCTTCACAAAGTGTGTTTACGGGGTGCAGGTCCCCATTCACTTTGAATAGGGTGACGTCATCAGTTGCAGTCCGTATTTATTTCGTATGTATCACTACGAAGATTTTCGCATACATTTTTACGAACAGGTTTTGGAGATCAGGCTGGAAAGTGAGCATTGAAACTGAATTACATAATAAATAAACTATTTTAGCGTGTTATAAAACAATCATCAAAATAAAGAGCACGATGCATTATTTAATCCAACATCGCTATATAAGTCATAACAACAGGTATTACTTATTAGAAACAGTAAGGAAATAGAAAATTCTTTTCATCTCAATAGGAACACACGCCATGCTCTAAATGTGAATCGACACATCTTCTAAAGCTAAACGCCTTTAACCACCTGACAGACAGGTTGCGACTTCCGGGTGTGTTTGCGTTGGAAAAGTCGTCATAATGTGCAGTGATCCTTAATCACACCGGAGGCTGGCAGTGTTTGGAAGCAGGCGCCAAGACAACCGGCTCCACAGAGGGAGCGACGCCTCGAGCAGCCGTTAAGTTTCCCTTCAGCAGGTGGAAAACGGAGCGCTGCAGAGGACCTCGGAGACCAGGCAGGAGGAGAGAAGTAACCAGGAGTGGTGAAAAGACACACACACACCATAATACAATCTCACCAAGTCTGTTATCAAATTGTCTGAAAAGGCCAAACAAACGTGTTCTGCTCATGTGCATTTGAACAAAGTGCGAAACCGCCTATAGATCCCATCCAAAGGTTTGTCAAATTAGAAGCGTTCTGTGGGGCCTTTATTTAATCTCAAATTAAACCCTGGAGGATGAGCAGTCCTTAAAGTGCATTACATGCACAGGTCTGAGTTTTCCACAGGCTCCAGAGCCAAACTAGCCACTGTATATTGCCTTGTCACATGATCAGACATCAACATGCATATCACACGGCCAGTGTTGGGAGTAACGCGTTACAAAGTAACGCATTACTGTAATTCCACTACTTTTAGCGGTAACGAGCATGTAACTAAGTATTTTTTAAATAAATTAACGCAGTTACAATTACTGAAATTGAAATGAGTTTGTTACTCGCGTTACTCTTTTTTGTGGCGCGAAGCGGAGGGCCGGCAAATAGTAAGTAAATAGCTGCCTGTCAGCACAAAATAGTTGTGGCCACCAAACATTGTGTGTCACAGAATAGTCGCCGTACGTGCATGTAAACAGCATCGCGTCGCTCATGACGAAAGACCGCAGGCCTTTGCTGCTGCAGGCGCCGCTCCACGCAAACAACCAAGGCTCCACTTTACACGGACTGCAGCGCACCCGATAAACCGGGCAGAGCTGAACAGATTGATTGCTCGCTATGTTGAAGATGAGATGCATCCTGTCAACTGTCGAGTCAGTTGCCTTCTGTTGTGGCTTTATGAAACATGTATAATCACTGTTATAGTCATATGCTATACGTGGGTTATCTAAATCGATACAAATGCACGGAGACGAGGATGCAGTACAAGTTAGGTCATTTACTGGCCCTCAAATCACGCACCTGTCAGGCATGAACAAACAATCACAGAACTCCGTCGTAGTGACAGTCAAACACAATCGAGCACAGAGTGCTCGATCAAATATACCACACCTTCGGGCATGAAACAGTTATTTTTTATTTTTTATTAAGTTAAGTATTAAAAAGGACTTTTGTACTATTGCTTGATTTGAAGGCCTGTTGCCCTGTTGATTACAATAAATAGGTTTGACTGTTCAGTACTATTTATATTCATTACACAGACATAAAATTAACTTAAAAGTTACTTTCCAGAGTAACTAATTACTTTTGATACAGCTTCAACTTTAATATTTTACCAATTCTGACCATGGTTACCATAGCAACGATCAACCATGGAGTAGCAGGATAGCACCAGTCGGGCAAATGTGCCAAAACATTTATCAATGGAAAAATCCCAAAATGGAAGAGCAAATAATAAAACATGGCTACCGTCTCTCAGTCTTTGACTCACCTTCTGCCATAGTGCCTCCCTGGAGGCCAGACTGGAGCAGGCGGCTACGAACCAGCAATTTCCCAGCTGGCCTTGGTGCAGGTCATGGGCACTGATGCCGTCTACAAAGAGATGGGGGTTGCTGCATAACTCCTAGAAGAACAAACATGAATGCAATCAGAGTCACCCCTATATTTTTCTTTTAAATTGATAATGTTCTTTTTTCCTTCTCTTCTGAAAATCCCCACAGGGGCGTTTTGAAATAACAGCAGAGAATCAAACCAATAACTTAATAAATAATGATAATATATTTATATATATACACACACACACACATAGAATAATTGTAATTATGCTAGGGTGGCAATAAAAAAACTAACTAATTAATCTCTCATTTTGAAATTCATGAGTCGCAATAAATGCCGATTGATTGTGACTATTGGCGATTAATGAATGTTGTTAATGAATGTTTGTTTTAGTTTTACAAGTAAGGAGTAATCACTTTAGAAAGCATGTATTTAGACACTGTGCGTTAAATGTTAATGTTATTTTAAACACAAAACTACACACGTTAGATCATATTGGAGGCTGAATTCCACCGAATGGAACATGTTGAACTAGCGACTCTTCCTTCTGTCCTTGTGCACTTTGCTCTCAACTCTCCATCATTTAACGTCTGTGTTTGAAGTGCAACAATCTCCCCACATTTAGCCAGGACGTTTTCCAAACCCCTGTCTTTCAGGGACACAGTGGTGGTCCTCTGCAGACTGTGTGCCGCGCAGGGTAACGTTAGGTGATGAGATGAAAGTAGCCTACCAGCTAGCTTAGCCTAGCGGTGCGTTAAGTTGTCCGTTGGCGTGGAGGAATTCCTACACACAGTTCTCCACTGTATGTCACGCCTCTGTTTGTTTTACTTCCAATGCAAAAATGATTTTGTCGCATTAATCTCAGCCCCAATAGTCGCATAGATTAACTTGTTTATGGTGACAGCCCTAAATTATACTTTTTTTTTTTTTAAACCAATCACAACCATCTTGGCCGGGCTTAAGCCCAGAGTGCAGCGGTACTAATTACAGAGTTGTACCAACGTGCACATCTGCAGAGTCAGACTTTTGGTCAACCTGCAGCTACTGCACAGAAAAGAACAGACACTGAGATGTGTGTGATGACATGCTGGGATGAATGTAAAGCTGTGCATTAGCATGAGCACTCAGCCAGCCATGACGGTAAAGAGAGGGTAAAAAAACACACCCTGTAGTTAAATAGAAATAGCTTCAGAACGTTCAAAGAAACACAAACCACAATGCGTGTGGGAGTCAGGCTACCAGGACACATGGAGGAGCCAGGATAAAGCACAGAGAGGGCTAACCGAGGCCCGAGAGAACACGTTACATCTTAACAAGAAAGATTTTACTTGTTTATTAATAAGGCTTTAGAGCCGCGGATTTGGTTTATCTATGGACAGAGCCAGGCTGGCGGTTTTCCAAAGCTTCTTGTTATGCTAAGCTAACAGGGGTGCTACTAAAATTTAAAAACAAGAACATTGATTGTAATATTAAAAAACAGACATTAAAACAATAGACAAACAGTAGCCATGCCTAGATATTCTTCTGACGAAGGCTAATTTTGATGCCGCAACAATGACAAATGATAGGCCAATATCAAACCTGCGTTGAGCTTCCATCACTGATGTTAAAAAACACAAACCAAGCGAGAAATGTACCGGTAGGTGTAATTATGGATTCAGACCTCAACCTGAACAGCCATATCAAGACGGTTACAAAATCAGTCTTCTATCACCTAAGAATACATCAAGCATTAGAGGACTTATGTCTCAACCAGATTTGGAAAATGATTTATCTTCAGGAGACTCGACTACTGTTACGGTGTGTTTAGATGTCTCTGTAAAAAATCTGAACGCTACAGCTGATCCAGAACGCCGCAGCTCGAGTCCTCACTAGGACCAGGAAAGTGGATCACATGACGCCAGTTCTCAAGTCTTTACACTAGCTTCCTGTCAAAAAAAGAATTGACTAAAAAATCCTGCTGTTGGTTTATAAAGCACTGAATGATTTAGGGCCAAAGTACATTTCTGATCTGCTAATACCTTATGAACCGCCACGAACCCTCAGGTCGCCTGGGACTGGTCTACTTTCTGCTCAAAACTAAGTCTCAAAAAGAGTCAAAACTAAACATCAGGGTTCAATTTTTCTGCTCCACATATCTGGAACAAAGTCCCAGAAAGATGAAGGTCTGTGGAGTTCCTCAGCTCCTTTGAATCCAGATTAAAGACTTCTCTGTCTGCTGCTGCCTTTAATTTACCATTTCCGCATTTTGGAATTCTTAAAGAAACTCTTGAACTACTCCCAATTTTTTTTTTTTACGTCTTTAACTTTTTGATGAGGTTTTTCTTTATGTTTCAATCAGTGTTCTTAACTGTTTGTAAATCTCCTTTTCCTTTAGTTTGTGTTTTCAATGCTGTTATGTGAAGCACTTTGAATTGCCTTGTTGTTGAAATGTGCTATACAAATAAAAATGCCTTCAAATATTTCCCCTCCCTCCACTCCCTGGACAAATCCATAATATTGATTCATGGGAGTGCTTTATTAAGTTTACGGTTTAATTATTTACCAGCTCGGATCAACAATGGTTGACAGTCAAAAATTTACATTTTAAAATAAGCAGGTCAGGCTTTAGCTGCTTATTTTCATACTGGAGGACCATTTCTTAATTGTTTATGCTCATACGTGTGTGTGAGTACTACAAACAGTTGGGTAGTTTAAAAAGCAGCAGATAGAAGCTTGAAAACCATTAAGCCATATCTCCATTAAAAGTCTCCCATTTTCACATGGTGTAAATTACCAACTGCAGGTACACATCATTGTCCTTGTCTCGTGTGGACGACCCCACCCACCTACTGGCACCTCTGGTCACCCCCATCGTCTCTCACCGGCTCCACTAAGAATCCGCTGATCGGCTCACAGCATTGGTTGTGAGAGATTCTTCTACTTTAGCGCATGTCAGTGTTTGTCCATTAACAGTGAGTCAGGGCCATTCTAGGTTTTAAAAATAAAAGAAAATTATGGATAATATTTTACAATGTAATTCCTCAGTTATTTTTAATATACTAAAAATATTAGTATATTAAAATTAATTATTAAATGTAAATACAATTTGCTCTCCAGTTTCAAGTTTTCAAAACAGCATGATGTTGATTTTGTAGAATATAGTCCGATTCAGTCAAATAGACCATAAAACAGAGTACGTATTAGGGGGGTTTGTAAGGCAGTATTATCCGGTCTGGGAGTTGTCTGTGTTTTTGTCTTAGAACATTCAACAAACAAACCGTTCAGTTTGCTTTCAGCTCAGGAAAGTTAATTGTAACATGTTGGTTATTCAAAAATCTCATTCTCAGCGTTTTACTGTACTCAGCTCCAGAGGCCTCTGTTACTTCTGGTTGCAGAAATCCAAGATGCAGACGATCAAAATGCAGAAACTTTAGAACGGCGGCCCAAAAACTAATGGGTGACGCCCGATGACTGCCTCCACTTCTTATTCACAGCATTTGTAAATATTATTTACTAAATATGTATAGATGTTGTAAGGGAGGAATATTTTCTCATAAATATGTCACTTGTCCTTAAATCTAATCTCGGAGTATTTTTCTCAGAAATCATTTTTCTTTTGGTATTACCCCAATGCCTGGTCTCCATAACTACTAGATTCTGTACACATGATGCCTCTGATCCACCTGCGTAAACCACATGCCATTTAACAACCCATTTCTTTTGTTCTCACCTTCGGCCTTTTCCAGGTGATTCTGCCGATGCTGTTGTTCTGGTAGAACAGAGACTGGTCGGATGTGGGGAACAGGGGGTCTTCAAACAGACGTCCATTCTGCCGGCACTGCCTCCTCAGGGTAGAGAAAGACTGGCCCTCGTATGGAACCGCCATCCCCCTGCACGGACACACAGTGAAGGGTCAATCAGGACCCCCTCCCCAAGTTCAGAAAACACCTTTTGTAATAAATAAATCATTAAAAAAAGTCCACGACTGGATGCTCACATAACAAATACAATGCACTACATGCAAACTAGAAGAAAAGGAAAGGCTGAGACTAAACAGTGTTGGTTATTTTGGAAAAACACCTCCAAATACATCACAATCACATTTGTCCGATAATCTGACACACATTACATAAACAGCCCCACCGGTCATGTGACAGGATGACCAAGGTCGCCCAGTCATGCATCACCAGAAGAGCCAACTCGTGATCGAAGTTTAGGGCTGCAACTTCAAGGACTTGATCTCCTGAGGAAAGTCATTAATGGCTACTTCCCGTCTTTCAAATAAAGTGGGACAATGAGAGAAAGAGGATGTGGTGTGTTTGTGAAAAGACCCTGTTTACCTAAAACGGCAGTTTTGTGGTAGTTAAGTGTATGAACTTAATGCAATGCTCATCAAATATTCAACTGCCTTTTCTGGCCATGAACCCGAGGAGCACTGCTCAGCAACACACACGGTAAGTAACATCAGAACTATGCTTGTGTGTTTTGGGGAATTGTACACTGAGCAATGCATCAAATCCCTTTACTATTGTTTGAGTTTAGCTCCATATTTCACCTCAACACAAGACATGGACTTCTTTACTCAAACAACATCACAGTCCAACACGTCAGACAGGTGTCTCTGTAAACATCCGAAAATGATAAATCCTCCTGAGTTGGACCTCCTACGTTAATGGCAACAAATATGCGTTACCACGCCCGGTATGAAGATGAATAAACTTTTTGGATCAGCTGGAAAATACATAATCATAAAGCTGAAAACAGGCTTTTTATTCATTTAAGAAATACGTGGCTCTCACAGGTCAGAGACGCTACAAACATGTGATGATCTTATAGAATATGGTGCATTAATACCAGCCAATAGGATATTAAAAAAAGTTAAAAACATCTATGCCAAATATCAATATTACTTCAGGAACAGCATTTATAATAGTGGCTTGAACTTCTCCTTTTCATACTTACGGTACATTTTTTTCATGATACTTGCATACTTTCACTTCTGCAATGTGTGAAATGGAAGTACTTGCATTGCTACTTTTACTCAATCAAAAGTTCTGAAAAAAATTTTTCCCAATGATGTTGGTTACCATGGAGACCGTTCATGGCACCCATCAGGCCATTCAGTAATTATATCAGTGTCAATTAAGGGCCATAAACACAAGGAGGATACTGAACAGAGCGGACAAAACAACACATTGTACTATCTGCTCGCTGGGCAGTTTAGACCGTTGATCCTTAATGAATCTGAAAATGTTCAAAAGATATACCCAGAAAGTAGAAAATGCTCCTTATTAATCAAGAAAAGAAAAGGGTCCTGGTAGGAGGAAAAAGGTGACCAGACAATTCTCTCAAATCCTAAACTAGAGCGGCAGAGATGAGAATACCAGAAGAAACTGAGTTTCAATGAGTGTCTGAGGAAGTGCATTTAATCACAATTTAAATGATTTGTTTTGTCAAACGGAGGTCTGGCTTACAGGTCGCCTCTTTTCTTGCGTTTGCAGTGATTGTGTATTTTCCTGACAAAATGTTCTGTGGTGACTCGCCTTTGGGGTTCCAGATAAGAGATCATGAAGAGTGTCTGACTGTTACCAGTCAGTTGTGACTTCAAGACTCCCCATTACCCGAGACAACGAGCTGTGTAGTGTGAACACACAGTGATCTGAGGACTTTGAAAGTCGCAAAGTGGGAACATGGCTCCAAAGAAAGGCGCACCTAAGAAAGGTTATCAGTTTAAGCGTATGCGGACACCTTTTCCCACGGGGAAATCTATGCGCTCTTAAGTCACCGGAATCCTTTGGCAGTAAATTCTACGTCTCAGAACCAGAGTTGCGCTCCACCGCTGCCACGATCGGTTAGTCCGAAGAAAAGCTTTAAAACACAAAACTTTAGTCTCGTTTGTATTTCTAAGTAATATGACATGGGTGTTTCACCCTCGGCAGGCCACGTTTACTGCAGCAAGTGGAGGAGGTATTGAGTTGGTTGCAATCTTCAACATTAGCAATCGATGCCACTAAAATATGCACACGTTCCCTTTAAATCATTTACGAAGAAAAACAGTTTTACTTTTATTGTATGTTGTTACCGATAGACCTATCTGCTTGGTCTGTCTAAACATTGTGAAAAGGTCTCTCTCAATTATATGACACGGTTTTAGGTTCTTCCATTTTAGCATTTCTGTTATGCAGTATTGCTGTTAGTTATAAAGCATGTATGCCAATATCTAATCTATCTGCAGGCTAATGAATATCCATATACAACATATTGGCTTGACTGATTTATTACTCTGATTTGAGAATGTAACCTTGGGCTTAAGGGGCTTGTGACTTCTCAATAGATTATTATTTTATTGGGCGATAACGCCGTTTTCGGAAATATTCATTTTTAAAGTGCGTTGCTCACTGGATCTGAATACACATACAGACAAACCGCGGGTGACAGGAAGAGGGATTTGGATCAGTATTGTCTTGGGAGGGGGATCATCGTGCTGCTAAACCAACGAGAGCATTTGTAGGGTGGGCCTAAGACTGCTGCAGTTGGGTGCCACAAATATGGAGAAAGGCAACAAACAGTGGACATTTACCTTTTTCATTTCTCCCAGATGGCGGTTGATAGATGCCTCACTGAAAGTGTGTTTTTGACTTTTTTGGACTGAGATTCTTCAAAGTAAATCCAGTTCCAACATGGACTTCCCACTAACTAGTCCTAAGACTAAAAAGTCCCTGGAGAGTAAATCCCACCTGTGTCCTTAGTGCTGGACACACCTGCTACTGAGCACAACATTACTGATAAGATAGAAATATACGGTTTATGATGTTCCCTGATAAAATACACATGTTATGCTGGTAACAGATTCATGAATGGTACCTTGTCTGTTTTATTGAAAGTTGTCTTTCTATAACAATTCCCTGGCATTGACAAATAACGTTGTTTTATATTTGATTACATAACTGTTTAAGTTGTGATTTACAATAAATATTTAACATCTACTGTGTAAAGACAATACTGCTGTTAAAATACACCTCATTTGTTTTAATAACAACGTACAACTTAACTAAGTGTCTGCAAACCAAATGTTATTGCACTTTTGTTCACACTTGTTTCAAATAAAAAACGCACAACACACTACTTTTGAAATAATCATTGAAAGTTGCGCACAACATTGCAATTAACAGCAGAAAATCATGTGATTGAAATTGCCTGATTATATGTAAAAACTATCGCCACCACTGAAAACCCACGATGACTCAACTCTGGTTTGAGACCAGTTGAACTACAGTCAACAACACAGTTTACTCCTCCTTCGAACTGCCAGCAGCATTACTAGATTTACTTCCCAACACTAATGAATGAAAAATGCCCACACAGCTGACCTTTGATTCATTTTACGTGTTTAATGGTGGATACACAGGATCTTTAAGGATCCCCGGTGATGATCCCATCCCCAGACAGAGGTTTACCCATTGTGTAAAGACCAGAAGGCAGAGCAGCCTAACATGGGTGTGGTTTCACTGAGCACCAATGGGCTCGCCACCACAGATATTGTGTCACAACTGAACAACAATGCAGGTGTAAAAACAGCTCATTTCATGATGTGTACACACTGTAGACGAAACGATGTGTTCCTTCCATTTGGATCCCTTAGGATTAACTATGAGACGCATGAGAGCATAACGTTTCTTCCATTATGCAATGTTTTTCGGAGTAAGCCCCACCGGAAAACTGGGGGTTAAATTCTTCAAAGTAAAAGTACAATGTCTGTCACAGATTATGATAGATATTGGTACTTAGTATATTTGTAACGTTAACAGAGCATCACTACACGTTAGTATTTTTACAAGTAAAATATCGCTAGATTCACAACAAATATGCGTTTTATTTTTGAAGGTTGTTCCCGGAAGTACATTCGTTTACGCAAATGTTGAATTCCTTTTTTTTTCTTCTTTTTTTACTAATTGTTATCTTCTTTGTGGAAGGCGGACCGAAACTATAAACAATTTATACATGTTCACTGTAATTCTTCTCTGTTTATTGTTTGTATCCAACGCCGCCAACCAACATTTAACAAATCTTTTCAAAGTGAACGTTTTTAAAATTCAACTCAACAACGGCGGTTAAATTAAACTGTCTTCTAACGTGAAGTGAAGTATAAAACCGCCCGTTTGAAGTCAGTTGAGAGAGATGCTCGTGAAGGAGAGCCGTGCCACTGCTAAGTTAGATTCAATAGTTAATCCCACTTCACCTGGTAAATGTTTGGCTAAAAGTCCGCTCCCCGGGGTCTCTCCCTCTTCTCCCGGGAGGACTTCGGTGCCGCTCTTTACTCCCCCTCTCTCTCCGTCGTCAGGCCGCTGATGAGCGAAGCTTTCAGTTGGCTTACATCCGGTGAAGTGAAAGCACGCGCACTCACGCAGGAGGAGCCCCGTCGCGCACTCACTCTGGTGCCTTCAGGTGCAGCGAGGACAAACCGGGACGACTTAAAGCCTGTCGTTGATGCTGAAAATGTGCAAAAAGTGACCGTACGCATGAACCACTTGAAAATCATATGTTTGTTATTATTTGATTTACTGATCATTCAAGTTTGCTTCACATTATTGTTGTAGTTGGTAAAGGTAGAAATCATTTAAGTACCTTGAATACGGCTGGGTAGCTAAACCTTTATTAATAAGAGGTGCATCATAACTATTTGTTGACTTATGTGTTGTATTAATCATTTAAATCTACAAAGTAACTAAAGCTTTCAAATAAATATGGAAAATGACAATATTGGACTCTTAAATGTAGAGAAATAGAAAATGAATGCATGAATAATTTGTTAGAATGTTGTGAATGAAATTCCCCAAACTAGTTTAAACATACTTGATTTGAAGTTTTCAGAAATGATAATGATTCTGTTTTTAGATGCAGATTGATCATATATTCGACCATTGCAGATTATGCAAAGTGGTAGAGGTCATTATAGAGTTTCTTTCAGTACTCGGTGCTTTAGAATAGTGGTTATAAACAACATCTGCTAAGCATTTAGAAAAGGATACCGCAGTCCAAATAACATCTGTTCAAAAGAAGCTTACAGTCTAGAGAAACAAACTTAACATATAGTAAATATGGCACAGGAGGTTTCTAAACAACCCCAGTCATATGAAAACCTTTAACATTGTATGATATTCAAAAGAGGATTCCATTATTAAGGGAAGCTGGAAAGTTCCCTTTCCGAACTTTATGTAACACAATGCTGACCTCTGGTGGTTGATTTTGAGAACTACAGAAATAACTTGTGATACTAAGGCTATTATTATGCGTCAGGAGTGTATAACATTTCAGGGTATAACGTCGTTCTAATACCGTACTATGCTTATTTTAAGTTGCTTGCTTATTTTAAATACATTTATTTAACGTTTTTTTTAAATGTCACTTCAAACTTCATTCATTTCATTTTTATTCTGCTCAGGTGAAAAAATGAAACTGGTTACAACAAATGTATGTGGCCATCTCAAAATAAGTATTCTTTGATTTTGGGATGGACTGTCCATTGAATAAAACATGGATAGAATATTTGACAAAAAGAAAACCTGAACAAGGATTTACTGGCTGCTTTTTGGGTGCTGTGGTAAAATATAATCATGCAGTCACGTCTGCTGTATGCAGAGTATTTGAGGTCAGCATCCAACGCAATCGTGTTCCTAGAGATGAGAAATCCAATTTGCGCTAATCTTAAATTTCACAATATTGCTAAATGGTGTTTGAAATACAAATATCATGCCCGTTAATACATTTTAAAAAATAATTGGAAAACGGGGATGTTAATAAAAAAAAGGTGTAAAGGAAAGGTTTTCATTTGATTTGGTTTTAATCATCGTTAACTTGTTTTCAGTGTTTGTTTTTAAGTAGTTTAAGTTTGAAAATGAATAAATAATAAAACTAAAAGTGACCTCTGAAGGCTGTACTGCTCACAGAGTTTAACTTCTGCTGCTGTTCAGAAAGGAGGTGGCTTTATTTATGTACAGTGATTCTGCCTCTGCGTTGCAATTAATCTTTAACATCATCAGAGGACACACATCCACAGTCATGTGAGGATCTGCACTTTACACTCTGCCAGCAGAGAGTGGAACGTCCAAGACGTCCATCAGACCATGTGTGATCACACAAGAACGGGACAAACACGGCTGCATCTGGAGGAAATTACAGGAGCTGTCTCAGGTAAAATATCATACTCTTAAGGAATCATACTGTTATACTTTAAACAGTAAGACGTCTTAGTTTAATGTATGATCTGATAAGTAATGAGTTTGCATGCTAAAAAATATCATGTAACATATCAGCAGATACTGACACCAGAGCATAATGGACTCTGTTCCTCAAGCCACTCATTTGTTCTGATTCAGATTCAAACTTTTCAATGTATAAGGTAATTTTTTTTATTAAAACTATTTTATTGAATTGAGATTGAAAATGTATCTTTAAAGTCACTCGACCCCCCCGAAAAGCTACAGCATGTTAAGGTCACTTTGTCTACTCGTACACTTAAAGCTGCTTCTGTAATATATAGTAACATGCTCCAGACAGACAGGGAGCAGCATTTCACCTCAGGTTCATCCAAATAAAACTCCTACGACAGGGAAATAAAAACAGTGGGTCCAAATAATCCTGCTGTCCTACGACCGTCTCTAGTGTTTGCGTTTACGTGCTGTACAGAAAACAAATGCTTCGCTGGTTGTAGTCGATCCAAAGTTGCAAAAAGAAGCAAGCGACTCAGGGCCATGGGCACAAAAACCCAAACTCATGAATGTTTGCTTTTTTTTGTTGCTATTTTTGCTTTTCAATGGGACGATTAGAGCCATTTTTAACTGAAATTACTAAGCATGCTTGGCTGTGAGATACTAAATCAATAACAGCGACTTCACACACACTGTAAACCCGAATTAGTTGACTCTACTCGCGAATCGCGTGGAAACCCGTTGCCCTATCCCACTTTAGTTTTTACACAAGCTGAAACTAGAAATGTTGCGTTGTATTAACGTGGAACCTTAAGTTTTTATACAAGCTGAAACTAAACATGTTGCGTTGTATTAACGTGGAACCTTACGTTTTTACACAACCTGAAACTAGAAATGTTGCGTTGTGTTAACGTGGAACCTTAAGTTTTTATACACGCTGAAACTAAACATATTGCGTTGTATTAACGTGGAACCTTACGTTTTTACACAACCTGAAACTAAACATGTTGCGTTGTATTAACGTGGAACCATACGTTTTTATACAAGCTGAAACTAAACATGTTGCGTTGTATTAACGTGGAACCTTAAGTTTAGTATTTATATTTATTAGTAGTGTGTACTCAAAATCATTAGATAAAACTAGCTATTATGACTTGTTATTGCTACTCATCATTTAACACAATTATTGTATTTTCCTCTAATTTAATTTGCTTTTGATTGGTTTTTAAATACGTTATTAAACATTGTTTCAATTAAATTGGATAAAAAAAACAGAAACACCTGTAAATGCTCCAATGCATTTTACTTTTAAGAAAAATGGCCAAACACAGCTAATCACAAAAAGGATCTGTTTCATCTGCCTCAATGAAGGGAGGCCAGAGCATGAACCAACAGACTATCATATCAGAACAATATCTAATTCCATCTACATAGACTGATGAAGAACTGAAACATGTATATAATATAACAATCTCCTATGTCTTTCCGCTACAACTCCGCTCAGTTTAAATTGTCACACAAGTCACATCCTTTAGCACGCTTCCCACAAAATATGTGTATAGGTGTGTCAGTTTTGTTTGTGGGTGTTGTATGTGTCTGTGTGTGTGTGTGTGTGTGTGCGTTTTATGCGTCTGTTTGTCCACCTGTTTTACAGAAAATAAGAAGGTTAACCCCACAGGTAAGAAAAAAAAAATAGTCAACAGTTTCTTAAAAGTAGACTTGACATCTCTTTACATTGCGAGCTGATTTTTCAAAGTCTGTAGCTTTGGCTTTAGGTCAGTGTGGCCTAACAAGAGCAATACCTGTTGGATGAACTGAAATGTGAGCTTCATAGTCTTGGGGTAGTTAAGATGGAGTGCATACATGAGTCCAAACAGAATGCACATTGCTTTTGGCAGATCTTGAATGTTGTCCATCACGACTTCTCCCTCAATGATGATTTCCAACGAGGCTGGACTGAGATGCTGGGAGGATGTGAGCACAGCACCTTTACGCTCAATAAGAAGTATCCCAATGTCTGGGTCACAAAAAGAATCCTCATCGTCAGATTCCTAAATAAAGAAAAACAGAAGAGCCCACTCATTACATTCTATTTCTCAGTTGAAAAAAAACTTTCATTAAAAATGATAAGAAAGCAAGAGCTTACTTACAAAGCCTCCTTTGAAGAAGTCTGTGGGGTTGTCCCCAGGATGATAGGAAGCCCTCTGACACTCAGTTGGCTCTGTAGTCTTTTGGGAATTAAACACAGTACCACAAGTTAGATAGCTCAAATGAAAAACAAATAATGATCTCTAAGAAATCTTAAACAGGCCGAGCAATGTTTGGATAGAATTATGCAACTAATAGAGTAGCATAGTGATATGATGTTTATACCTAACCCAAGAAAAACAATGCCAAGTACATAATGTGTATGGACTTACATTGGTCTGTTGTAAAATATGTGTCAACAACTGTCCAACATTCCCTCTCTTGGATCCAAATAACTCGAGGAGACGATGACTGTGCCGGTCGATGCTCTCATAGAATTCCGTCTTGAGGTTCTTGCCCACAATCCTGCTGAACTCCATGAAGACCTGAAAAATACAGAGAACAATAAAAATCTGAATTTAGATCAACTGAACTATACAAGGCAGCTAAGCCATCTGCGAAGTAGTGCTGTCCTGAAAAACATCCATGAATGTCCTTTTTATACGATTTGAAATGTTGATGTTTAAATTAAAAACATCATGCCCCAAATTAAGAATACCAATATTTCCTTTGAAGAGGACAAGAGAAATATACATCTAGACACATTATATAATAGAAAGATAATTATTTGTTATGTTCTCTTTCTTAAACATACTTGATATTCAGTGAAAAGGGCAGGCCAGCATCTCACCATCGTGCTTATGGCAGGTTCCGACTCCACTACCTCTTTTCTTCTCAGAGCAAACGTCTGATCCATCTTCTGTTTCACAAGAGGTCCATTTGGTGTTCTCTTCTGCATTTCATCAACCAAGTCTTTACAGGCCTCCAGGGCTGCCTGATCAAATGCACACACATTGTAGGTGTAAGCAGGGAAATGGGACAGTTCTACCATAGTTTCCGTGTTTTAACCGATGATGTTTTAAAAGGTAACCCCTTTTCTCACAGATAAACTCACAGTACTTACACTTCCACAGCATCCTCACACCACAAGAATCTGTAAAACAAGAAACTGTTTAGGTCAACAACTCAGCACAACAATGTCACTGTTAAATACAATAAGGTAATAAAACCGAAACAACACCTGTGTTACAGAGAAAACCGGCATGAAAACAAGCGTGTGTGAGGCCGGTTACACACTGCCGGCGTGGCATTTCTGTTGCGTGTCAGTTGCGTGGATTTTTCTGTCTTTTCACACCAGAAACGTGTCGGACGCGGCGCTGCTGCTGCTAGCCTTGTCTGGACACATGCATGTTTCCCATTGATTTACTGCACTCAAGCAGTATACTTCATGTTATACATAAATATATACTGATTTGATTACAGCAAAGACAACGTCGGCAGTATTGACGGTAAATACACTACAGTATATTGCATTCTGTACAGGTGCAATATTTGAAAATCGATCATCTTTTTGTTTTTTAAATTACATTTGTATATCTGCATTTATGTCATAAACTCGAGACTTTCGAACATCAACATGCCATTTATTAATTAGTATTCATGTCAAAATGAAATATACTAATATATCTTTTCATATAAAATTTAGCCTGGAAACGCTTCCAATGCTTGCGTGTGGCGCAACTATAACTATAAACAGACACGCCACGCAGCCAGTGTGTAGAGAGTGAGGGGGGAAAAGAGAGCGACCAGTGAATCAATGGCTGCAAGTAGCTCGGGTGTAGCTAAACACCTCCACAGCGGATGTAATTTGCCCCGACAGCGGTTGAATCGTTTTTCTATTGCGTAAAATGAAGGGTTGAATAAGTGATACAGTCGAACAAACTAACGGTATGTGAGCCGTCCTCAGACTGTTAACACTAAGTTAACTTTAAGTTCAGCTAACACTTTTTGAGTAGCTAGCTAGCTAGTTTTAGCAATAAGCATGTATTAACACCATGCACAGGTTCAAACATTAACATTAGACGGAAATAAAAGCTGCGTCAAATTATCTGCAAGCTTTTGGGTATTAAACATTCCCACAAAGATAACTAGGCTACAATAGTTATTTTACATACTAACCATTCCACTTCGAGGTGGTAAAGTTGCTTTCTTGGATTCCGTCTGCTGCCGATGCCTGTGCTCTCCCGCCAAGTGAAGAGCCCCTTGGACGCACGTCAGACGTTGGTCTGGTCACGTGACCAGGCAGCTTTTTGAATTAGCCCCTCCCCTTTATTGCAAAAGTAAACATACCGAGTTATCTGTGCTAAAAATGATTAGTGCAATGAATTTTTCAGCTAATTAGTACTAACAACTAATGTTGTTTAGTAATGATAGCAGGTTTTTACTAAACATAAAAGAATAAGTAATGATCACTCGTAAGTTTAATTAGAAACAAAATCCGGGTTTACAGTGCAGAAGCTCCGGCTTCGGGGCCTCTTGGGGCCACCTTGAATGTTTGTCAACAAATCCTGGTCCTTCTGCATGGCAGCTTATGCTGTATTTGCAGAATGGTCAAGTATTTCAAAATTGCAGTCAAGTAGTGTACTGGATGAATTCCACCAGTGACAGCTGCTGAGGAGCCAGCTGTCAGTCCTTTACTGCACGCGAGCCATAAAAACACACCTGACTCTCATTTCCTGTGCAGGTTCAAAATGTTAACCAACTGGTTAACGTTCACAGCCATTCTGGCCGCCTCAGCGAATACAGAAAGGGCAGCAATTGGCCGCGGCACTCTGACCGTTGCACCAACCGTCAGGGTCACGGGTCACCGAGAGGTACAGCTGACTTTAGACTGTGGAGACGGAAGGAATGCAGGTCAGTGAAGAGGACTCGACACGGAACAACTTGATGCTTTTTAATTCACCTGAAAAAAGCACTCAGAATGAATACACTCACAAGTAGAGAAATACTGATTCCTTTATTATTAGGCACGAATATTGCAGGACAACATTAAAGTTACATGCATAACAGGTATCATTTTTCATCAGAACTAACGTCCTAAATAGGTATTACAGTTTAACCAACAATGCATTATCTTTTCAACACACACATACCGAAATATCTAAAACAGCTCATACTTAACATATCTAATAATTTCCCACACAGTTAAAAAGAAACGAGCGAGCATTATTTGGGGACTATTTAGTCACACAAATCTGTTCATGATAATGAAGGAGGAACATTGGTGCAACAACGTGGCTCTGATACGCAAGTGTTTCATTGACAATAAGAAATGAGCAGCTTTATCCTTTAATAGTTGACCGTCACACCGTTAGCAGTGGCCTGCTGCTATAAATCCTCACCTGTAACCGCTCCTGCTGTAATGTGCAGGTGCAGTCCAGCACTGGCACACCCCCTTTGGAGACATCCACGCCCCCTTTGGAGACATCCACGCCCCCGGTTCCCACGGAAAACCGGCGCCCGTCGTCCTGCAGCGCGACGGGAGCCTGACGATCCCCAACGCCAGCAGCTTCCACCGCGGCGTGTACTACTGCCTCCTGCGGCACACGACGGGCACGACACTGCGGCCCTACGACCTCCATGTTGACGGCGCATATCAGCGTGGCGACGCGTTCAGGTTCCGGAGGGACGTTCGCTCGGAGGAGCAGACGGAGGCTGCAGTCTCACACGGTCACTTTGCAGGAGCTGTGGCGGCGTCAGTGCTGGTGACGTTTGCGGTGGGCTTCGGTGCTGGAGCTCTAACCAGGACCCCTGTTCTCAGGTGCGCGCAGGTCCCCGCACATCACAGCCTTTATTAATCCATCAGATTGGCAACACGTTAGTCCTAAACCTGTCGCCAAGACGCTGCCAGCAGATCTACCACTAAAGATGGATAAGAGGCACTCACATGAACCACATAATAAGGCCACACCCCGCTGGAAAGCTTAATGACTGGGCTACTAAGCCAACTAAATCAGCTTGAACATGCTCCAAACACGAGGTTTAAATGAGCATGTTTATTGTGACTGATCGCAGAACATTTGAGGAGTATGCAAGCTGTGAATACCAATGGATTACACACACATATGTTCAGGAGGAGCTAATGGTAAGATCGTCTTTTCTTTACCCGAGTGTAATCTAGTATAACAGCAGGTCCTCTTCATGTAGCACAGAAAAATCAGTTTCATGTTGGCCACCGTGATTCATTCAAATGCCCAATACACAGAAGTTGTAGTTGTCTGCAATGTGAAATCTCAAATCCTTTAAACCTGCGGCCTCTCAGTTAGCTGTTCTCCATTACAGCCATAGCTCGGGATGTAAACCGGACAGATGGCTTTAGTGCCGGGAAACACCGACAATGTAGCCATTTACTGGTCTTTTTCCCATGTTGCTGTTTCAACACGTGAAATACTCCCCTTTCTAGCCAAAGTTGAAATACACATCTGTGGACTATATTCTTTACTGTACTGCAACTAAATCGTCTTCATTAAAAAAAACAATTGGTGACTTAGAGCCCAATGATGACATGGCAATTTTCTATACATTGTATTGAATTAGTCCTTATGACAATGTCAGTCTGAGTGTTACATTGTAATTACAGAGCAGACATCTTTAGTCCAATATGTCTAAACTCCATTGATTTCACTTTAGGTGTTTAGGGGCAGTCACTACAAGGCTGCGATCACCACGGCAACACCATCGCCGAACTGACACGCCAGAGGGTGATTTTGAAGCCACCATGACAACCAAGCTGCCTACATTCAACAACCAAGCCATCAACATGGTGCAGGAATCAGACGATGACTCTGCAGATTGTACAGTGGCGGAGACGTCTTCATCGACGCCCACACCTCTCCAAGCAAAACCGCAGAGAAGCTTCAGGCAAAAAGCGGACACCACGGCCTATCTGGAGGGATGGGACCACATGGAGAAGAGTGCGGCAGAAGGTCACATGGGTAGGAATAAAGTGTGTGATGGGGAGGCCAGGGGACAAGGGGATTACTACCTGGAGGATGGTGGGAGTCAAAGCGAAACGGAGGACAAGTGCAGCGAGTCCAACGAGGATGTGGGCCAGAGAAGAGGAAGTACTGAGGAGAAAGGGAGGGATCAAGAGGAGGTAAATGACGGAGCAAAGAGGAAAGCGGACGGAGAGACAGACGTATGCAGCAGCAAACAGGAGGGAGGGGGAGCCAGGTCGTCGTCGCCCCCCCCAGACCGCCATAGACGCGTCATCCGCCTGTACCAGTACGACGAGGAGGGCCGGCGATACGGTCACCTTCCAGACGCCAACCCCGAGCCAGGCCCGGCCCAGAGACTAAAGCAGCGCTCGCTGTCATTGACGCGCCTCAACGCCATCATGGCCGCCGCCTCTACGGGGCCACTGGACACCAGAGAGACGGGGGCGGGAGAGGAGAGGCCACGCTTCCACATGGAGATCTAAACCCCTCCAGCAGCACATGCCTTGCAAAAATATATACATGCATATGGCAGCTGCAGCCAGTGCTACGCCCCAACGTGACGTCACCAGCAAGTGGATATCAACACCTCATATCATCCTCTGAGCAGATGGTGGGCACTCAGGTTCTTCATATCAGATCATAAGTAGCTTTCAGCCTTTCAGGGACAAACAAAGAGCAGGTTTCATAAGTTCCAGGTTACATCAGCTTAGGCTCAGCTTTTAAAAGATGAATTTGAGCTTTGATAGCTATGGCAACAGGTAAAAAAAATAAATAAAAAGTAGCTAGATTAATGCCGATGGCATTCACAGCACTCACCCACTTCACCGTTTAATTAGAAACAGATTTTTATTGGATTATATGTAATAGGCCAAATTGTCTAGACTGGTTTAGTGAAAGGACAGATGGATTTTCTGATGAATAAAAAGATAACTAACCATAATTATTGGGTTAAAAAAACAACAATAACGTCCTCATTTGAGCAATCCAGGAGGTGTAAGATGCAGGTGAGCAGGTCAGGGCCACACAGTAAGCTACCACAGTTAAAGAGCCAAATTCAACACACACACCTTGGTTCTCTTTCTAAAATGGAAAAGCCAGTTGACCCTCATCTCATGGTTAAAGTTTCAGCTGCTCTTGTCTTGGACGCCCAGACACTGCATGAATTACCAAATTCCCACCAGACACGCGTGTACTTAAAAAGGTGTTCTGCCAATTATTACAAAGCGGTTCATAATACTTCCATTTCCTTTTTATTACTGTGAAAACATCTATAAACAAGACACAAAATGGAAAAAATAGTTAAGAAAACGTAAATTCCACAACTCTTCTCTCTGTCCATTCTTTGTGTTTGTCTTCTTATCTTAAGAATGTTTTCTTTCCTCCAAATGAACACTATAAAAGTGAACTCCAAGAGAGAAAGGCCTGTTCCCACATGGATAGGGATGATTCACTAGTCCATATTTGTGTGTGTGTGAGATTGTTGAAGTCTGTCAAAGTAAGATCTGTTTGTTTCCCCCCTCCTTCTTCCTCAAACAGTACAGGAGGTTCCTGCAGTGTTCTGTGTTTTTTTTCTTTTTTCTCCCCCCACTCTTCTTTTGGTGTTGTGACTTCATCTGCTACAATGCCGACCAAGTTTTCTGCCATTCCACAAACTCGTCTAGCAGCACTGGCCCTGCGGACAAAAACCACGAGGACATAAATAATATTTACAGATCCTACACTTTTTTCCCCCCCAATATAAAAAAATGTAGCGCAGCCCACTATATAAAATTGATTTTTTTTTAAGTTACTCAAAACGTAAATATTTCACAGCTACCATAGTGATTAGTGGTATAACATCAATCTGTCACTTCTCTGAACTTTTTTCCTCCAATTAGTAAATTATTTATTCTAACAGCACTTGAACCCAGCATCAGCTAGTCTCTAAATTTAAGACGGTGTTGTCCACATCTATGGAATTCATCTTGGGAAGTTGAGACATTTGTGAAAGTTTTACTGGCCAAATTACTGCAACCACTTAGTCACACAGTCCGTCGCATAACGAGCGTCCTGGCAGTGCTGACCTTTGAGGGAACGGAGAGAAGTCTAAATGCAGGAAGCTATCATATTAGCAGTGTTGTGTAACTCTGGAGAGTCGACCAAGAGAGCTCTCCTTGCATCCACTACTAAAAAAGGTAGTAGTTACAAAAATATCAAATGTAAAGAAAACATTTGGTCTCTAAATTACACAAGTTCTTTTTTAAATCCTTTAAAATTGTTATTGTTGATGAGGAGGAAAAACAGCAACTAAAATTGAAGGGTAGTCTGAGGCTAAATGTAACCCCTTCACACTGAAGCATAAATAAATCTCACCAAGATTACAGTTGGCAACATCGAATTCTAAAAGCAAAGCCATAAACATGCATTCTCTCTAATGGCCATCAGGGGGACACTGCTATAGAAGTCTGAGAAAATCACCGCGCTTCTCTCTCAATGTATTAGGCGAGTAAACACTGCAAACAGTTGGTTTATGGTTTCAGGTCAGATGGTGGTCCATTTATAGTCAAACCGAACATATAGAAGGGTATGCTCTATATTAACAGTTTGCTGCAGTGTTGTCGTTTTTCTCTTTAACATCAACCCTTTCAGAGCATTCCCAGTTCATGAAAAATGTATGTAAATATTGGTTGCCTTAAACTGTCTTATTCAGTAGTCCACATGAATACAGTCTAAAGGCCAACGCGGCATGAATTCATTAGCTAGTGACATTTTCTGGTGTGACCGAAGTGTGGAGCTGCTGTATACTCACAAGCTCCGTCTTCATCGTAGTTACTGAGGTCTGTGTTGATGGTCCTGCTGAACTCCAGAACGTTATACCACTGGTCCTTGTTCATCCCCTTGTACTTGGACTGCTGAGAGACACAAATGAAGGGTATGGGAATGCAGTGATTTAAATCTCATTATTACTAAAAAAATAAATAAAGTAATTTTGCAATCAAAGTGATGGTGCTTTTTGCAAGCGATCATAAGAAAACTAATTATTGCAGCTTCTGAGAGTGGGGATTTACCTCCAGGAACTGGTGAAAGACTGGGAAAAGTGGCCAGGTTCTCTCCAGCAGCAAGGCCAGCATGGATTTAGCCGTGTCCATGTCCAAACTCCTCTGGTCCTTATCCTAAAGACAACAGATCATCTCAAACATAAAGCTCTCGGGTAACACAGCTGTTGAAAAAAAAGGCTGAACAGCCATTGCATCAAAAAGGACCATAGCAGATGAGTCAGATGGGAATAAGATTTTTCAGGGGTGTCAATTCTTTAAACAAAGCAAACAACTCACTCTGGCGAAGTCGAAGGCGTATCTGTAGACATTTTTGAAGACTACAGAGTCGTTGAGCTCACCGCGCAAGTAATCCAGTTTGCTCTGTAACCTCTCTGTGCAGTCACACCTGCAAGTAGTTCAAGAGCCACCAGTCACACAAACAGCTCTCGTTCAGTGGAGGCAGTACTAAACTAAATTTGGGTCATAAAGACATGAGTTTGGACATTCATTCTCAGAAAACTGACTTACTGTAATAACGTCATTCCCCTGAGCCACTCCTCTTTTGTGAAGAAGCCCATGCTTGCTGCTTCTAGATGCCAGGCGAGCACCAACATGATAATCTGTGAGAAGAGATGAAAAGCTTTGATTTACATCAGTGCATGTGCACAGGGCTCTTCATTTCCTCCACGGTCTCCCGTGTCATCCCTCTACAATTTGCAAGGTGGTGGAAATGCAGGGTAGTGGAGCACAAAACACCCTTCGTTCCAATAAATAACTTTCATATGTGCAGCTCTGGTGCAGTAAAGCAGTATTGTGTCAATCGGTCTCTCTGGGTCACCGTCCTTGCTGAAGTATGAAGCTTCATAAATAACTTTGAAGTAGGAGTGACTTGAGTCCTCGGGTCAACCTTCAACACAACACGGGTAGGCGGGGGGGGGCTCACATTCTCCGGTTCCACACCGATGTCCTCACAGAACTTCTCCATGGCGTCCGGGCCGACTACCTTGTCGGGGCCGGCGTACGCCTGGAACCACGCCAGGCACTTCTTGTTGGAGAAGAGCTTCTCAGCGGTGACAGGCCTCGCGCCTCGCATCTGAGGTCGGGTGAAACTGCAACACACACACACCAGATCTTTGTGTTCATAAATCCCACAGCATTTTTTTTTTTAAACAAAAGAATGACAAGCAAAATGTTGAATGATGATGAATAGCCAGTCAATATGGGCTCCATGTTAACCAACGCTCAGTGACGCTCGGCCTCTCATAAGCTAAATTAAACAAAACTGACATCCCTATGCAAACGGTCAACTCCAACTTGAAGTATTAAGAAAACATGCTCGCACATATGACCCAGTGAAGCCCATTTGACTGTTGCACACACTTCTACCATTGTAATCAGGGGGATTAGGCTTTAAATAAAGTTTTACGCATTGCGTTTTTGAATGTTATAACTTATTTCACCAGCAAATATTGCTATGTTGATAAGTTTATTTATTTTAACAGTACGCTTTTTTTTATGTAGTGAGGAAGACCCTAAAGAAGAGCAGAGAGAAAAACAGAAAACGTCAAAGTTCAGAGAAAACAGACGCCCATTAAACTGGCAGCCGCCAGCTTTAATTCTTACACGTGCCGTTTTGTGTTACGGATTATTCTTAGAATGTAATAGAACACATTCCGGACACAAACTAAGGGCTACGCTGCAAAAAAATAAAAATAAAATAAATGAAATCGGATGGTGACGAGTTATAAAAACAACCCAGAGTGGCTGAGATTTCATGCAGTGACATAAGCGTCACTCACTCAGTAACTTTGTGTCTGCTTACCTTGTGATTTTACACTTGCGCTCATTATCATCTGCATCAGGAAGCTTCCTTTTCTTCTTCACCACAGGCATCACTGAACCTTTACTGGGCTTCACTAGCTGGGCTAGTTAAGAAAAAACAAAGAATAGATCCACATGCTGTCACTTCAACACGACGACGAGAAGCATTAAGGGATGAAATGTGCAAGATGACAGTCATACCTGTGTACTTCTTGCTGCCTTGTCCATTCAACTCCAGGATATTCTAGAATAAAAAAGAAGGGTGAAATCAATAATCCTTCATTTCAATTAGAGGACAGAGGATGAGAGAAGCTGTATTGTCGATATTTAAACATTGCATTCCATTAGCAGTGTATGGTATGGGTGTGCAGTATCAAATTGTTCGAAATTATACTAAAATTTTCAAAATGTATAAAAAGTAACACAATGGTCATACATGTTGAGGTTATAAACAATCCATTTAAACAATGTTTTTCATCTTTATATTTCATACCAGATCAAAAAGGGATGTTTCGTCACTGTGCCTTCACAAACAGACATTGTTTTGGAACACAAAACGCTGAATGGCGGACTTCTAAAAAAGGACAATGTGCCAGCAGCTGTCACTGGTTTGACTCCCCAGTCCACAAATGTCAGCACAACACTGTGAATATGTCAATTTAAAGATGGGTTCAACATTGCTTTTGGTGGGTTCAAATGCGATCATCTGCAGCAGAAACTATTCCTTTCCTTCCGTTTAAGTATTAATAAACAAAGAGCCCTCTGACCAGCAGTTAAACAAGGAGAAGAAATCAGCAGTCATTGGTGACACCAACAGGAAGATTCAGCATGACGTGCATTTCAGTAGTGCCGCCTGTAACGAGCCGGAATATTAACATATGTCCTGCTTTAGCAGAAGGCTCAAAAACATTTAACAGTATTCACCCCATTGTGTAGTAGTGAAAGTGCTTTACCATTTTTTTTCTTTTATGGACAAAAGTATGTGAAATGTACATAAAACGTTTGGCATCTATATTACACTGTTTTTATCTCTGTTTATTGAAGGGACGACAAAAGTCAATATAACAGGTGACCCCAACCTTTTAATTGAAAGTGTTCTTCAAATAAAAGATGTGTATAATAATGTATAATCAATATTAATTCTGGATTGGAATCAAGAATAAGATTGACAGAAATACCATGAGATATTATTTCAGAGCTATATTGTCAAATCCATGATTTGAGCCATAACATTGAAAAATAATCATGGCTACTTACAAGCTTGTCCAGCGTTACTGTTGCTGTACTGCTGACAGACGTCACAGTTCCTCTGTGTGGACAGGTGACAAACAAAATGGCATTAGGACATTAAAACAAACATGCTAAACCTTCCTTATTAAAACAAATGATTGACAGCAGCTCCTTACTAAACATTTTATTATACTCAATTACCCAAAGACTATTTTATCTTTGCTTTAAAGTTAAATCATTAGGAGTCCTCATGGGGTCTAAACACACACATTGACACACACGCATTATAACAATTTACATGTGAAATTATAGAGCCATCCTTTACCATTCTTTACATAGCAAACTCTCCAAAATACATTTGGCACATCACATTCAGCCACAAGAGCATAAAGAGCAAAGTGTTATTATTCTTAAAAACAACAATTGGGGAACCATTGGTTCAGTACAAGTCAGTCTGACATGTCCAGTTTTAAAGAAATAAAATCGATCTCAGAAATGAGCGTGTAGAATTGTGCTGTATAAAGCAAATGTACTGGTTACAGAGGATTGCTCAATTACAGATTGTAGTATGCCGTTCTTAACAAAAATGTTAAAAAAGGACAATGTGCCAGCAGCTGTCACAGGTTTGACTCCGCAGTCCCCACCTGCATCATTTCATCATCTGCAGCAGACTATTCTGCTATCCTTTAGCACAGTTTAAGCAATAGTAACCTAACGATAATTAGTAGCTTGAATTTGAACAACGCCAACCCTACGTAGGAGCTAAACAGGGTTTACATAACGCGGACAGGATTGTTTTATAAGACGATGGGCTTCACGAAAATGACTGAACACGACTAGAGGATCTCTGCGGTGTAAACTCGTAAGCAAGGCTAATGTTACGTGCTGTGACGTTAACTGATCGATAAAATGGCTTTTTTCATTAAAAAAAACATGTAAACAAATGCAATGTGTCGGAGACATCTTTTAGCAAAGACTAGATGCCTCGCATTCTTACGTCACCCATCTGGCCAAACATTCGTCAATCTGACGACTGTTTTAATTTTAAGTTGCTGTTGATTCAAACGGCTTTCGTGCTCACCGTTACTGCTAGCTGGACACGGCTAACGAGGTTAGGGTGACTAGGTTATATAACCCGGGAACAGAAAACGCGTCTGGTTGTCGAATAAACCCCACAGAGACCTCAAATACAACACCTAACACACACAATTAAGTTCAAATTATTCCGGGGTTCAGTCTTCGATGCTAGGACACGTCTTTTGTCTGTTAGCTAGCGGCGCACCACGGGCGTCAGAGCTAACGTCTCACTGCTAACGTTAGCTAACGTTAATTTGTCAACAAACGCGTCAAGGGTTCACAACCCCACCAGTTAAAGCGAAGTACGAACGAGTTATTTGTTTTACCAGCCGATAGTACACGAAGTAATTGAACACGTCAAAACTCTTACCCTTGTTAGACTTTGGCTGACAAATGTGTTTCACCTGCTTGGGATACACCGGGCTTTTTTCTGTCGCCGGCGTTTCCGGGGAGTGGACGATACCATCGGGGCGCTTTATGGGGGTGTGATACGAAATAAGTTGTCCGTGTCTAGCATAGTCTTTGCATTCGCACACATTTACAAGGAGGGGATAAGAAAACACTATTTGTAATACAATCTAGGTAAACGCCAGTACTAGTAGTAGTGCCCTCTGCGAGGAGAATAGTTATAATAGCAAGTAAATTAGTTCCCTAAAAAAGGCCTTTAAAAAAAATGGAGCAGTCTGTTATTTTTGACACTCATATGTAGACTCAGACGTGATAGAACACACATGCAAACAACAAACAACACAATCGCGGACCATAAAATGAAAAAAAAACACTGTTTGACGTTTCTATGTATTTCAATTTGTGCAGTGAGATGTGTCTGTTAATATTTGGTTTCTTAATTATTCATTTTTATCTGTCAGCTAGTTCCAGTATTGGCGATAACCGTGATATTTAAAAAATGTCAATCAATATCATTTTAATAACTCATATGATCATTTATGTATGAAGTATAAAACACACGTCTTATATCCTTCTACACATCTGCTCTTCAACTATCAAAATCCCCTAAAAACTTATTTCATCTTGTGTTTGTGCATTTTCTTTATTTTTTAGTTTGGCTGTGGTAAGAATGCGGAAAAGAAAAAGTCCTAAATGTCGCACAAAACGCCAAGAAGCGACCCACGTACGTCACTACGTTATCATTGTAGTCATTGTCCCCACGTGTGGATGGTTAACACTGATATAGTCGGACAAAAATAAAAACATCCATAAAACAGTGGCTTGTGGTCTTTAAGAGAAAGAAAACAGAAATATCCATCTGTACAGTTGTTTACGGTTTTATTTTTGCCAGGAAATAAAATACTTAGCTGTCCAAAAAGTCTGTAACAAGCAGAAAAAAGCGGCACATCAAAGTTGAACCACCACCAACACAACGCTCCACAGTTTCACTCGATGCCGTGGAAAACGTCTGCTTCAACCGACTGTGTTTAGTTCAAGTGTCGCCATGACGCAAGGCTACAGGTAAGAGTGGCCGCCTCTGGAAGGCCGGTGCTGATGAGAGGGCGGGTACGGGGGGAGTGGGGGATCCAGGGGAGGAAAACACAGTAACCATAGCAACCAAAGCCAGCTCCAAAGGTTAAAAAAAAAGGAAATACTTTGAAGTTTATGTCTACAGAGGTTTCAGCTTCCCGAGCGAATACTGATTATTGATTGGACAGAACACATGGATCTATTGTTAAACAAAATGCTAAATAAATAGGGGCAGTAAAACAAAGAGCAGTTCCAATATTTCAAAAAAGTTACCAAGGAGGGAAATGACACCTTTTTGTGCTGTTAATGCTTTACAAAAAAGAAACTATATTTTCGGTGCAGCTTGTTAAAGACTTTGGTTCTTCCAGTTGTGTCATTCAATAGGATGACCAGATAATATTAAAATAAAAATGAAATTAAACTTAAATCTACATTTAAAAAAGAGCTCTTAACTCAGTGGCCACCACATTACTTACACATACATACTGACTGGTGCGATGCAATCCAGCTGTTCTGGTAAATCCTGCTTTTATTAAGCAGAGAACGTTAATTCTTGGCATACAATCGATTTTACACATTTTAGACAATGTCGACAAGAGTTGAGACATTGCTATCATGCAGGCATAATGTTTACCCCGTTTACCACTCTGAGGCTTGAGTGCTCACATGCTTACATTTGCTGATCAGCTCTAAACGCAGAGTAAAATTGAGGCTTATGGGAACGCCTTTTCTTCAGGTAGCTGGTCACAAGCAAAAAGTATTGGCCAAATTAAAACTTTAACAGGACGTTGTCACACAGAAAAAAAGAGCATGTTATTATAGCTCATTATCTGTTAACCACAAACGTCTGATTGTATGGTAGCAATCCATCCAAGAGTTGTGGAGGTATAGGACAGATTGATGGATCAACTTTGCCCCCCAGCATGTCTTACAAATTGTCATTATTTTAATAATAACCTACATTTCCCAGAATGCCTTATTCTTTAATTTGGCTGCTTTTAATCATATGTGAAAGGATGTGGAAATCCAACATGGTAGAAGATTGTTTTTCTGTTGCTTTGCATTCTAGCCCCATTTCTGTAGGAGCAAACGACTCCTCCACTAGTCACCGTTCTGGATGGAGGCGATAGGATGCAAGATAATCATTTTTTTAGGATTTTAACTGATTTGTTTGGGAGGATCACATGAGTGGAGTTAACAGCATTACAGCTGTGTAGTTGTTGAGTTTTGGAAGTTTAGGAACACAAGATCATATGCCGTTTCAGCATTTGGACAAACTGCAGGTGTGAATCAAAATTGGTAAAAGTGGAGATCAAATTCGGCTAAACACTTTTTCATAAAAGAACAAAAACAACTTTTTCTCAAAAGTTGGAGTGGAAACAGAGGACAGAGTTGCAGTAAAGAAAAGCCGCGTCAGCACAACGGATGCACACTGAGAAAAAATTGTTATAAGACAAAACATGAAAAAAGAAACAAAAACATTTTAATGAATGAAAGTAATATTTCTCATAAATACTGAATAAATATATGTACTTTTTAAAATTAAATCCCACACATTCACTGTTGTCTTTCCTCTTCCTCGCAAGTTCAGTTCAACAGGAAATAAAAAAAAATATCAGAGCAGAACGACACAAAATTAAGTCACATAGTCAGATCACAGCCGAAGTCGGGTGACAAATGAACGTTCCTCGTTCTTTTTTTAAACGCAGTCTGTCTGACCGGCTCTGATCTGAGTGCAGCGGATTCATCTTTCTTATTATACCACCCTTTCTGCAGCAGTAGTACTCAGCTCTGGAAAACTAATTAAAAATAATTGAATAATGTCGCACATTTTTCTTTGGAGAATTTGGGATTTGCAGCAGATAGCAAAGAATAAAAAGCTGTGATAAATACAGCGAGGATCACAGCGCCACCTACGGGTTAATCTTCATACTAGTCTTTTTGTCCAGAATTAAGGAGCAGTTCACATGAAGGTCAATTGTGACATAATTAGTGTTCGAGATTTCCATTGGCATGTATTCATTTGAAATTCCAATGCATATAAGTACAAAAGGAAAACCCTGGAGTTCATCCATATGTAGTTTGTTAAATATTGAACATCTCATTTTCGAATGATGGGTGAGCTTTGTCAGTCCTAGTAACTTTTCCTTCTTCTTTTATTGGTTTCTCGCTACGCCGCCGTCCAACATCCAGCTGAGGCTGGCTGTGTTTGTCTTTAGACACCATCAAAGGGAAACATTTTCACTTGTGCTCTCTGATGGAGGATTTTTGGCAGCAATGCAGCTTTATTTTATCGTGGCAGACGTCTGAGGAAATGTATCACTGGCTCTGCTTCACACTACCAACCACCGCTCTCAATAACAAGGCCCAATTAACAGCAATGCCTTTTAAAAGGTGGCCTCTGAGTTCTTTGTCATCAGTGTGTGAATGAGCAATTCTGGGATCAAGAGTATTTCCCCATGTGATTTGATCATCTACAGCCGTAATACACCACGAGCAGCGGCCTCCCCTCGCAAATGTAAAGTTATAATGTGGGGAATTCAACTTTTTTTGGGGGGGGGGGGGGTTTGGGTACTTATTTATACATTTTTTTAGCGTTAGCTAAACATCATCACTGAAACGCCCAATAAAGTAAAAACATATTGTGGCATCACATCAGCCTCACCGGAAGGTCGGGATGAGTTTCTCTCTTTCTTACAGCGGGACTTCACGACACACTTTGGCGTGAAGAATATGGCTTAGCGAAACACATTTCTGTTGTTTTTAAGTTTCAGAAAGTTTTCCCAGTAGTGACACCGTGCTGACAGCGACCTTCTCAGTGGATTCATGAGGAGAAGATTTGGGGTTGCAGGAATCCGTTTTACATGGGAGCAGCTGCTTCTCGTTCCTCTTTGATGCATTCGGCTGGTGTTCAATCTCACAATGTTCACAGGGCACCAAATAAATAGTCTGCAGTCCGGTTATTTACCAACGCAAACAAGAGAGATGTCCGGACAACAGTTGTTCACCCGTTGACAGACAAAAGAAGAAGAAGAAAAAAAAGGGGGGGCTGGTCAGGATTTCCCAAAGTTCTTAGACGCAACCACCAAGTGTGACAGATCCTCCAACGAACAACAAAAAAAAAAATCATAGAGCAGCATGCTGTTGAAGGTGTGCACACATACACACACACACAATTTGGCAAAAATACTCAACAGGAGTTTTAATGTCTCCATCGGTGTCTGTTCCTCCTCAATGGCAGCTTTTTCATTTTTTTTTTGCATTGCCAGTTAAAAAAAAGACGTAGAGAAGGAGATATGCAAAATGTCTGCCGCAAAGATGGCAGCTGTGGCATTAAGTCTAAGCGAAGGATTGACATCAGCTAGTTACGTTGGTCCTTCTGGACCTCCTCGTGATTCCTCCTCCACAGTTCCTGACTGACAAAGAAAGGCAGGAAGTATTTCACTCTATTTTGTCACCAGCTCTTTTCCTCTCAGCCGCTCAGCGCAGACGGCGTTTCTCTCCCCGGATCTGATCCGACACCAGAGGGCAGGGAAACAGACTCACTCTCACCTCCGTAACACACTGACAGGCGTCTCACAAACACAAATAAATATCCAGACGACTTTTGTTTGACAAGGCTCCGCCTCCTTCTTCAAATCACACCTTACTTCTCGTCGTCGCTCCCTCACACAACCTTTTTGCTCCTTCTCCTCTCACAGGGTTTTTCAAAACGGCGGTTGGCCAGGAGTAATACAGCCGAGCTCTCTATCTCCCTCGCTCTCTGCCTAGGCCATGTAGATGAAGGTGTTGATGTCCGCCTCTTCCCTCTTTATGTACTTGTGTTCGATGAGCCACTCGATCTGCTCCTTGATCATCTTCTTCTGAGGCAGGAACATGTTCTTTAGGATCTCCACCAGCTCCGTCTGCAGCTGGGCATTGCTGATCCTCTTCCTCATCTTCATGATTTGGATGATGGCCTCCTGCTCACAAACAAAATGAGCAGAATGTCAAACCCTTCAAGCTCTACGTGTACGGGGGTCTATGAACACGAGCTCGGCCCTCCTGTCCTGGCTCCATTGTAATGGCGCACAAATCAAACACAGACGACAATACCAACAGACAACTGTTGTGGTCAGAAAAGATCTTTTTTTAAATGCTGGGGTGGGTAGTATATTTTTGGCGTCACTGGCATATTTAAATTAAAGTGGTCAATTAGATCTTCTTTGCTCTTTTTTTCAGGCATTACTAAATCATTGAACCAATCACGTCATTTCAGAGAGACCTATTGGCTGCTCACATACATTTCAGACATTGCTTTCAGGCAGTAAGTTGCTGTGCTGAAACATCATGCTTTGGGGCAGTTTTTCTGCAAAGGGACCAGGACGACGATCCGTGTTAAGGAAAGAATGAATGGGGCCATGTATCGGGAGATTTTGAGTGAAAACCTCCTTCCATCAGCAAGGGCATTGAAGATGAAACGTGGCTGGGTCTTTCAGCATGACAATGATCCCAAACATACCGCCCGGGCAACGAAGGAGTGGCTTCGTAAGAAGCACTTCAAGGTCCTAGAGTGGCCTAGCCAGTCACCAGATCTCAACCCCATAGAAAATCTTTGGAGGGAGTTGAAAGTTCGTGTTGCCCATCGACAGCCCCAAAACATCACTGCTCTAGAGGAGATCTGCATGGAGGAATGGGCCAAAATACCAGCAACGGTGTGTGACAACCTTGTGAAGACTTACAGGAAACGTTTGACCTCTGTCATTGCCAACAAAGGGTATATAACAAAGTATTGAGATTTACTTTTGTTATTGACCAAATACTTATTTTCCACCATAATTAACCAATAAATTCATTAAAAATCCTACAATGTGATTTTCTGGATTTTTGTCTCTCATAGTTGAAGTGTACCTATGATGAAAGTTACAGGCCTCTCTCATCTTTTAAAGGGGAAGAACTTGCACAATTGGTGGCTGACTAAATATTTTTTTGCCCCACTGTATATGAGAGCGCCATTGACCACCAATCACCATGACGATTTGTACCGACGTGCCTGATGGCCAGAACACCTCGCTGGCTAGATGGAGAACTGTAGGCTGTGATGTACTTCTGTCAAGTGCTGTTCTCTTTGTGAATGCTAGTCATTTGTCTGAAGTTAAAGAGTGTCGGCACAATTACAAAGTAGGAGAAAGTAAACAATATGAAGTTGCTCTTGCATGACGCCCACTGCAAATGTTTTGCTGTGTATTTGTAAGTGTGTTTTCGCACCTGAGTTCTGAGTATTCTGAGCTGAACGATTCCTTCATTCTCCTCTTCCCTCATTCGCTCCGTGGTCAGCTGCAGCCGACCAATCAGATTGATCTTTCCTCGCTTCTGAACTTTGGAGTTTTTGCTGAGGAAAGAATGTGAGTTTCTTAAAGTAATTTATCGTGAGGAAGCAGTTAACAACATGCACAGTTCTGGTGTGGTGCAGACCTGAAACAACTGGTTCACTCATTTGGCAATAACAAATATACGTAGATTGTAAATATAATTTTACACTTATATTATTTTATGAAGGTATAGAATATGGAAGTAATGAAGTTTGCAAATGAACTAAAATACATCTCTAAGCGGAATTCAATAATGGACCAATGAGGACTTGGACTTTCCATTCATATGTTTTTTATGGGTGGGGGGACTGGTGGTAAACGCACTATAACATACATGAGTGAAAACTCCTGGTTGACATAGAAGAGCGTGCTGTCTGTGAAGTCTTTGGGCGAGCTGACGGGGGGGTCATAAGACAACACCTGTCTCTTCAGCTTGGGGAAGGCCACTAGAGACTGAGGAGAGAGGAGAGGAAGTCCATCTTAAGATGTGAAAGATCATCAATTGACAATGCACAAAACATATTTTGGTAGCCTTGGATATGTTACTAACTTGACTGCCGGGTTGCAATTGAAAGATTTACCAAAAATGTCTGTCAAAATGTTGTATAGTAAATATCATGTGTAGCAGGCCGCTGGGCAGTATTCTTACCCATGAGTGGCAAAAGATGTATTTAAGTGCGGTAAATATCTCAATCTTTCATACTTGTTGTGTAATTGGTGGATTGAAAGGAAGCATTTAAAAAGGTGTCCTTGCTCTGACCCAGAGTGTGCGGCGGAGCTCTGCGTCGGGCAGCTCCGTGGCCAGTTTGAGGTTCTCAAAGCTGATTCTCTCTCTGGGTCTCTGGTTCCAGGCGAACAATACGGCCAGCTGGAACGTCGTCACCTCCAGGTCGTACTGCCCCACCTCGTTTTTAAAGGTGATCTGAGAGGAGAAGGAGGAGCAGCAAAGGTGGAGGCAGAGAAGTTGAGAAGAGCGGAGAGTGTCCATTTGACGTGTATTTTAAAGGTCACAATTAATTCAATTATTTTTCCCTTCTGCCAGAAACTGTCCTCTGAGGGAGCACTTTGTTTCAAAGGTGCCCCCAGTAGAGCTATGTTTTCTCTATCAAGCAAAGTATCTGCTGCTTGATGTAAGGTTCTACCAAAGGTTGGCAACCAAAGGCTAACAAAGGGTTTACCATGGAGATAAAGTAGCGAAGCATATTACCTTTACTAGCAAAGTCCACCATTCCCTCACAGGACTTTTTCAAAAGATACATGCATGTACGTATATGAGGCATATAAAGTTCAGGGAAATGAGCAGGCTAGTGGCGCGGACTAAAGGAAACCATTTTTCCTAATTCCTAATAAAACAGGACCGCTGCATTATCTACTGTTAGAGCTCACTCACGATGCCGTTGGACATGAGGTGATGCCAGTGGAGTTTGCGTCCACTGTGGTTCCTCTTGTAGAAGTCTTCCACCTCGGGGATCAGGTCCTCCAGCTCCGTGGGCAGCGAGACAAATACCTTCTCGCTGCTTCGCGACCACGCTCCGGCATTCAGGATCTTAATGTTCACACTGTCCGCTGTAAGGAAAAACAAAAACTTTAGAATTGAATTCAGTCCACTTAACTCGTCTGTATTCACTCAAAATACTCTTGATGTATTAGAAATGTTTAAAAGGCAAACGTTTCAAATTGCTTCTGAATTCTGATTGAACAGCATCTAATTTCACTGTGCTTATTATACCAGGAAACGTGTCGGCTGCATAACAACGAAGGGACACGTTACTGCATAGTATTACATTTATTTTCACACTTGCTTTATATTGTTATTGTCCTTGTACTTGTTGTCACAAAATCCAAAATAGCACATGAGAAATAGTGATTCTACATCGTCATTATGCATCTACGTTGGTTATCATGAATTAATGACGGTGGTTGGTTGTATAGGAGCCTATAAGCACATGACTACTTCTCTCTGGATTCATTCCCTCAGTAAACATTGTAAACATGAGTTTATGGTCTCAATACAGCATGATATTCATTTAGGAAATGAAGGTCCATTTAGAGCAGAAAAGGCCGTAAAGCAGAGTATGTTTTATGGCAGGCTTATTCAAAGGTCGCAATCAGAGCGTGTATGGCGTCTTAATGTCACTGGTTGCAATTACAACAACATGGCAATTTTATATTTGACTGAGATCTGTTTCTTTGATTTTCTCATAAAACAAACTAGAGTTCTCTCCTCCTCTTTACCTTCGTGTGCAAGCAGGCATATGGCTTTTTTTAGTGTCAAGGAGATTAATACACTTGACTAAAGTGCACGTGTGTGTGTGTGTGTGTGTGTGTGTGTGTGTGTGTGTGTGTTACCTGGGCAGTGCCAGCCTGTTGTGTTTGTGCGTCTCTTTGAGACCTGATTGAGGTCTTCTGAAACCTTGATGTCCTGAGAGATCCCGGCCAGCTTGTGGAAATAATCTGCTGGCATCCATACTTTCTAAAACCCACACACACACACACACACACACACACACACACACACACACACACACACACACACACACACACACACAACAGGCAATAACCCAAGGGAAGACAAAAACAGCACACCAAGCAAAGGGCACATTTATTTCTAGTTTTCAGATATTTTTTTCAGTTTGGTCTTGTTTACTTCTTCTTTGACCAGATATTTCCAGCGGTGTTGGTGGTGTGCTGAAGTAAGAGCATGCTGTCTCCTGGTCTTTATTTAGGTTTCCTCCCTGAAGCAATTTAAACTATTCCACTGAACAAAATTGCACAAAATATACATATTTTGTTACGCAGACATTGTACATCAAGTATATTTCTGTAATAAAACCTCCAACTAGCTGTCGTTAGTGAGAAGGTTTGGTTTGCATTGATGTAACAGCTCCATGAAAAGTAGTAGTACACTGAAAAGTAGTAGTACACTGAAAAATTGAAATTTGCATAAATAAATGCAAAATCAAAGTAAACTCCAAACAATAGAGATTCAGTTACAGGTCACTAAAGTTATGGGAAATGAGGAAACAGCTTCATATTCACCAGCTCTGATCTGATGCAGTCTTTAGTAAAAGAGCGTCACAAATCTATGAGAAAATGCCGGGGGTGTTCGAGTCACTGAAACCCGACCATTAATCTCAAAGAATTCTATTATAGTTTGTTGTCAATTTACTACTTTAGAATATAAACATTTCTCCTCAGAATACCCTCCTCCGGCAACATTATTTATTTTTTAATCCACAACTGTCTCAATACATTGCGCCTATAGTTTAACATAAGTGGGTTTGAAATAGAAAGGTTTAACTCACCCTTAGCCACTCCACCATGTTCTCTTCAATCTCGCTGTCGGCTGAAATGTCCAGAATCAGGCGCCTAGTCAGGTGGGCTTTGTGGTAACGCATGAACACGTCTTTATTCTGAACGTACTTCAATACCAAGAGCTGCAAGGAGAGACGATGAAAGCAGAAAAGAGGGTGAGCGCAGAGGAAAAGGCGAGCTACTCTGAGTGATGCTGCCCACGAAACAGACTCTCACCACTTCTTTGAGTTTGAGCTCAATTTCCTCCGAGCTGAGCTTCTTGCTCAGAGCGGTTTTCCTCAGCAGCATGTCACAGTAGTTTGCAAGGAGCTCAGGGCACTTTGACTCCGGCTGAGTCTTCATGCCCACGCTGTTTGGACACACACACACACACACACACACACACACACACACACACACACACACACACACACACACACACACACACACACACACACACACACACACACACACACCACGAGATTGAAACGCATTCCTACTGCAGCGGACAGATAATCCTGGAAAGGCTGAATCCTTCCACCTCGACCTGTTTCCACTCACCCTTTCTGCTTCAAAGGCAGCTCCAGTTTGAAGATTGTGGCGTCATTGACTACGGCCTTGTACGCCTGCGGGGGGATAAGGGATGAAAAACAGAACACGGATCCATGTGAGGACATAAAGGTAGGGCGACAACCTACCATTGCTTACTTTTATTATTCAGTCGGTTATGCTTTAGATTAATACAGTTTTCACTTAGCTTTTAGTGATTTCCTTTTCTAACTGCACAGTTTCCCCCCGTTCATACGGACAGACTTATATTGTTCATTGTGCACAAAAATAATAAGGCGGCAGCCAGAACTCAACAATTCTCAACTTTGCGTATATGGGTTTTTGAACCCCAAGGTAAACAGTCACAGATCCATTTCTACTGCAACACAACAGGGTACGGAGAGCTGATGGTCAATGTGATGAACTTACACACCCCAATAAACAACATTTGCTGTTTAGAACGTTTCTCGCACACTAAATTACTCCGCATGAGAGCAAGGCACCCCTGTATGGGTGTGGCTCGGGCACAGAGCTGTAATGCTTGGTTCTTTATGCAGGTACACACAATGAACTCAAATGCCTTCAGGACAGAACACAGTGCTTAAAACAGACCTTGTCTCTGGCTGTGAGGAAGCGAGGGTCGTCCTGGAAGGCCTCCTTCACCAGCTTACTGAAGCGGTTAAACAAAGTCAGCAACTGCTCCACGTACTTCTCAGAGTCCTGGACGAACACAAACACACGCAGATTTAACGTTGTAAAAGCTGCTCTCTAATATTCACTTTTAGTTCATTATAAGCTGTAAATTTCTCTCTGACTTTTAGAGTTATTGAACAAACAAACTAAATAACTGCTTTGAACAAATTGACTGTGCAACATGCAGTTGTTCTGCAATAACTTATAAGCTGCAATAACTTAGAAGTTCTCTCCACTAGTTTGGAAAAAAATATTGTCAATAAGTGATTGACCTTTGATGATTTAGGAAAAATGTGTTGTATTTTTACATGTATTCATGTGTTTATTGTAAGTATACTGTCACTTTACCATTATCCCATTACTACCTGGGTTGCTTCAGAAAGGGCAGACGATAGAACTCATCAGGGAATCCAGTGTTTGTTCATTACATTACATTACATGTCATTTAGCAGACACTTTTATCTAAAGCGACGTACAATAAGTGCATTCAACCATAGGGTACAAACTCAGGAGAACAAGAAAGTGCAATTTCCTCAAATAAGCCAATTTACAATTTGCTATAGATGAGTGACGTTACAAGTCCAATTCAAGTGCTACAATGTTCACTTACAGATGTGATTGTCTCGGCGGCAGCAACCATGTCTGCTAGTCCAGCATTGACGATATGATCCTCTAGGTCTTTCAGCATGGGCTCGATCCCGCTGGGAACCTTGTCCATCAGTGAAAACATCAGTTGCAGCTCTGTTTGGGGGGCAGACAAACACACCATAGATCAATAAAATCTTACAGGCTAGTTACAAGTTCTCGCTTCTCACTTGACTTAAGAGGTGCTATTTTGTCGTTTCAGTATCCAATTCTTTCAATAGGGCCATGACACATATTGTCTGAATTGGTAAACTTTGTGCTCATGTAGACTTAAGATGACATAAGATGCCTGCGGAGGACGCGCAGCATCGTGAAGGACAACTGCAGCTCTGCCGGCAGGAAGCCAACCGACACTGGGAGAACCTTTCCATTTTGAGAAGTTCATCTGGCCGCTGCATTAGGGAACGGTGCTACGCCCAGCAGACATTACAGTGTGTGGTCGGGATTGAGAACCCAGTGCCACAGTCGCCATGAGTATGTGCAGCAAACTGCCTAATATGAAGAATTAGGTTCACCATCACCGTCGCACTCAAAACATGCATCACATAACTTTATCAATAGAAAATGATCTGGGGGATTGACAACGGTCTTATTGATTGAACTGATACAGTTTAACACATTTTCCCACGATTGTTACTACTAATGATATTAAATCACAATCAATTTAATTTGCCCTGTTACGTTTCAAGTCTGCATCCCCCGCATAGAACCACCACACACACAAGCTGTACTGAGTGGAGCGCAGGACAGACCGGTGCCTGTGAGAGACTGAAGTAGGGCTGTCACGATATCACATATTTGTTGTGCGATTAGTGCACCAACATTTATTGCGATATGCGATATTATTGCAATTTTCCTTCCGGGGAGGTTTAACCTGGGGCTTCAACCGCCGGCAAGGCGACACGCTCCGCGGCTGCAGGGAGAGACAGGGGGCCTCGGCCCCGCTAACAATCGGCCGGCCGGGGAGGAACGCAGATTTTAGCTTAGTTAGGTTCACTGCTTCTCTTCACGTGTCGGTGTCCACTCTGTGTCTGTGTGCGCGCTGCCTAAGCCCCGCCCCCACTTTTCACAAGGAAAAGAGACGGAGGCAGCGCGATCAACTTAAATGTTGGGTATATGTATATCGCAGCACGCAATTTCACATAGTGTGCGATATGTCATTGTATCGCATATTGCGACATGTCTAGACTGAAGACTGTTTAAAGCTTAATTTATGATGTTGACATTCAGAACCATTGCTTGTAAATATTACCGTTGTCTATTCCTGTCTTTATGTCAGTCTCTTTACACACACAGGACGGAGCGCTCCCTGTATTTGTCTCAGTGCAAAAGTCAAAATGTTTTAACAAATGCTTCTGCTTGGATCTACATTTGTTAGCGTTGAGGCGCTCATTAGCAACACGACAACATGAGAAAGAGGCACACTTACTGTCCGTCTCATTTCGTTTGATCATTCCCGGACATTCCACAAGGATGGTTTCTTTGAATGAGCTCACCAGGGCATTAACGCAACACTCCATTAGCTGAGAGAAAACACACAATGCAGAGGCTCACTTTAAAGGGCAACTTTGACATAAATAAATGGGCATCAGAGACTTTAATGAGACTCCTGAAAGGACGGAGGGGAGTCTCAGAATATGTTTTAGGGTTTCCCCTAGGTTTACTACTATAGACTTGCTTCACAAAGGGCTCTATATGATGGTAGGGGAAACACTGTGCTTAGTGCTGTTAATCACAGCAAAGGGAAAGATGTGCAGGCCAACAACACAGTGAGGCTCTAATGTGCGGTTCTACACATATGACCCGTATGAAAACTGAAAGGATAACCTACAAATACAGAACATTAGTCTGGATGAAATCAGGGAAATGGTTTGCGAAAACTTTTTTTCAATAGTAAAGCCATGAAATGTAAGTTGGTTCAGATCTTGTCGAACAAACTTACTGCTTGAACAGAGTTGCATTCACGACATGTCTCTAGATATCTGAGCGCTCTCTTCTCCTCTTCCCTCAGCTTTGCGTCTGCCTGCAGAGAAACCCAACACGGAACACACATTTAGCAATTAAGCAAGAGCAGGGCAACCAATTATTTTACCACTATTTTTAGTTAAAACATATATAAAAACGTTAATCAGTATAAGTTTCTTACTTGGAAGTAAAGCCTACTGCTTACCTACACGGGACCTACTGACCCAAAGCTGCTCGATCTTTTAGTTAGTGTTATTGTCTGACTTTGGTGTTTAAAAGGGTGAGTTTTAAAGGAGTCTTCCTTGTACTAAGATGTTGAGTTGATGTGTCTGTCAATTCAGCCTAGAGGCTTTGAAGAGCCAACAGCTTGCTATAATCAAGAGAAAAATGTGAATGTCTGCATGCTTGCATCTTTTCCCATTCATTATTCACATGGCTATCTAGCTTTTTACTTATGACTATTACCAAGTTGGAGATTTGACCAGCCGAACTGTCAGACGGACTGTCTGTCCGATCAGAAGGGTTCGTCCTCTGCTATCTGCTATAAGGTCCTACCCTTCCCGTAAGAAGTTCATTTTGTTGTGTTTTCCTATTTGCCATTGTGTTTAGCACTTCAGGGCCACCGTAATTACCAGCAAACCCACCGCTCTCCATTTGAAGGTTACAATCGCTTCCAAATTTGAAAGAGACCCCATTCCTTATCCTCAGAGTAGTAATAGTCAGTATCTTTGCGGCTTACATATTTCATGTAGTTCTGGACGCCGTTCTGTTGAAGATAGGACGGTGCCTGTGTTCTGTAGAACCTCTCTGTGGAGTCCAGGTAGGCTTTCTCAAAGTTATCCCTGTATATCTGCAGCTTGTCCTCTGGGTTAGAGCACAGGTTGACTGGTGGGAGAAAAGCAACCCAGATTACTATTAGTGGTTCAGGTGGTCTTTTTGTGACAGTAATGTGAGTTTCTGTCCGTCCTACCGTACGACTCTCGTACTCCTATAACGAGCTGGGAGTCGAAGGCCTCCCCCTGCCTCTCGGCGTGCACTAGCTTCATGGCGCTGTCCTGCAGGCGGCTCTTAATGTTGGAAAAGATTGACTCGTTCCACGTGTCCAACATTAGCTGTAAGACAAATAAATGAAGGAGAGTGATCAATCTCCACCGAGTGCACTGAAAGGGTTAAATATTACGTTATCCCCCATTTCCTGCCACCCAAGAATAGCCAAACCCAGTTTATTCAAGAAGAGCTTTTAAAGAAGACGCCTTCTCTCTGCTGGCTGAATCATCCATTAGCAGCAACAACAACAACTACTGTGGCCTCTGCTGCTCTGCTCATGTAGTTATTTTTATCTCCTCTCTATCTTGCTTCTTACATGCCAGCTCATCGCCTCTCATCCTCCCTTCTTCTTCTTCATGCACGCTGTTGCTCAGCTCTTTGACTCAACATCTCTTGCCTCCCCTCTCACCTTGCGCACGATGCTGTCCTCCATGTTTGTTTTCTTGTTACTGCCTTGTTTGCCCATGAGCGTGATCTCCAACTGACAGAAGGGTTTGGGCAGGATGTCGCACTGGGTGAAGAACTTCCGCCACTCTACAATGTAGGCCTTTAGCAGCGCTGTGTCGTCCTGATGGCTCAGCACCCGCTGCCATGGCAACAGATGCAAGCAAAAGTTAAAGAGGATACGGGTTGGCTAATTAATACTTGATGTGTTGTAAAAAAATCCTGTATATCTTATCTCTAAAATGTAGGAAATGTACTTCCAGAGTGATACATTTGTACATCACTGTCATAATTATCATTATGTTATACTATTCAATATCTATTTTCTGTTTGCTGTCTACATGCTGTATGTAAAACATTTAGCTCAATATACATTTATTCAACAGTTGGAATAAATTAATGTTAAAACCTGTTGTGGTTGTATAATATTCTTGTTGTCTTACCCCGTTTTCCTTGTTGCACTGAAAGGTAAAAGTTACAAGCATGCTAATTCACGCATGGAAGTAACTTCTTGATTTGCCGTAAGATGAACATAAAGGCGTTTCATATCTGAAATGAGCTCTCCAACGCTAAAATGAATTGACATGAAACCGACCCACACACACTACTCACAGCTTGCGCTTGTTTAATGAAGTCTAGGATGTCCTCTTTAAGGGCTTGGTGGATTTTAGCTGGGCCTTTGTCATCCCATAGACACACAGCATGGACATCTCTGAGGGACAGACAAGGGACACAATCAAAGTTGTTTAAGTCAAACTACGCACCTCAAACTCTCTATCCTGTAATTTGTGAATTGATGATGAGAGAATTACACTCTTTGTGTTCCTGTGCCTCTTTTCCTCGTCTTATCTTATTTCTCAGGTTGAAAGCAGCAATCTGTGAGGTAATCCTAAATACAGATATTACGGTAAATAATTACCCTACCCTAATAATTACCCATTTATTGTAAACGTTTACCCTCTTCATTACCACAAATTTTATTACTTTAGTTAAATCCCAATTTTGCCCCTGAGGGCTTTAAAATCACACTTCTGTCCTTAGACCCTCAATTACGGATAAGTTTACACCCCCACAGACAAACACAAATCATGGGATCACGTTAAAAATCCATAAATAAGACTTTTGCCTGCTGACTTGGCTTTTTACAATGAGAGCAGTTCACGTTTTGGCAAGTTAGGCTCTAGTGTGTAGGATTTAGTGACATCTACTGCAGCATTGAGGTTGCAAATTGCACACAACTCAATATCTCTGCCCACCTCTTCCCTCCTCATCTAAGAATGAATAAAGCAGGAAATGCTCTCACTGGAGTCACTGTTCGTCCCTTCTGGGCTACTTTAGACATAGCAACAGAAAGAACATGGAGAGGACCTGCTTCCTGTATATAGATATAAGGCAGTTTGACGTTATTTCAGTCTAATGAAAACATAGGTATGAATATTATATTTAACTTCTACACTTTAAGCTACGTAAACAAGACTTGATGAGCAGAACAGAACCTAACAAGAGGCTTACCTACAGCTGCGCATTGTGTGGGGATTTTGTAAAGCACAACATTTGAAGCCTATGTATGTATTGCATGTGTGTGCTACCAAAATGCTCTAAAACAGTACAGGGGGATAAGTGAGCGGCCTTTCGTTCAGAATCACCATCGCCACCGGCAGCAGTACGGATCCTGCATTGGAACTCTCTCAAATTAGACAGAAGGCAGTAAAGGACGGGGCAGAAGGCATCTCTTACGAGAACAAGTCAAACCACTGTTGCTTGGTGACGGCTTCTTGTCTGAGCAGCTTGAGAACGATGGGCCGCATCGAATCCCACTTGTCCTCAAACTGCAGGGACCCTTTGTTCTGGAGGAGGGATATGAGTAGAGTGGCAGGAGGAAGAGGAAGGAGCGATGAGGGAGAGGAGAGAGTCAGACAGCGGCAGAATACACAATGACGCACATAAAGACTGAAGACCCGGTGCCAGAATCAGAGTTAATTAGATTTTCAGTTGGTTCATGTTTTTTTATTTTACTTAATGCTTTTTCTATCAATCTTCTTATTAAGTTGAACATGTCTGAAGGAAGTAAATGTCCACTTTGTAACCTGCCTTAACAGGAATACCTTGCATTGAACAACACGGAAAATAAGAATACCATATCCTAGTATTACATATAATTACTTTAAAATAGTATTTTATTTGCATATCAAGCTGTTCCAACGCTTCATTTAAGCCATTAGTTACACACTCATTGCCACTTCTTGCAATAACCATTGTCGACTGGATTAATGGATTATTAATGATGCATTAATGAGTTTAGAATTTTAATGTTGCAGCTGGTAATTTCCGCAGTAAGTGAATTTCACCAAGGGACACATAGATAATCTCATCCTAACCTGTAACAATACCCCGGTGCGCCTGTCAGAGCTACATTGTAATGCTACATAGCGAGCTACCTGTCCAGGGACCGATGCGTGACCCTTTATTATCAACAACGAGCTGCTTAGTTCATTAAAAGCCCTGCGAAAAGATGCCGAACTGGGCCTCGGGGATACAAAACGCAGCGGTGTATTTGGACATTTAGAGAGGAGCTCGGTTGGTTGACTGGCCAAAATAAAAGGTATAGCATGTTAGCAACACTCGCTCAAAGAGACACAGGTGTTCGGAGAAATGTCTTGTTGACGTTTGTGTCCCCTCCGAGTCCCCATGTCCTCCGTAGGTGTTTTAAAGCTCGCTACTGCTCCTCTGCAGAGACGCCTCGCCCGCGCCGAGGTGCCGGTTAAGGGCCTCGGTTCGGCGTCGGTGGGTCACGGAGGAGGACGTGCGGAGGTCCGGTTCAGGACGGGTCATGTTCGAGCGGATTTCAGTCGGTGGGACTCGGACAACGACAGCGGTGACAACTGAGACTTCAGACGCACCTATTTGTGCACTTATTTCATATATTTAGACTATTAGTGGAGGGACATACATGCCACAATGGGAGACACATACATATATACGGTATTAGGGGGGGGATATGAAAACTACGAGATTAAATCTGCACACAAATACGGGAAATACGATATATTCAAGTGCTTCTTACCCTTAACAAATTTGACGACGCCATGTTTCTTCAACTTAGCACCTCGCGGAATATCGCGAGACAGCGAGAACAGCTGTCTCAGGATTACGTCATGGGAACCTCGCACACTGAGCAGGGAAATACTCAGACCCTCCATCCTTTACAGAATGGCTCATTTTTGGAATCACTACTGGATTATCGCGATGCACCAATGTGTACGTACATTGCATCTGGTAAAGTTCGGGCTCGTTGTATTCACTTTATTCAGACCAACGAATAACATATTTTAATTTGTAACATAGTAGTTGATTTATATTTTGTTTTAATACTCAAAATCTGCAAAGTAACTAAACTTTGAAAATAAATGTCCTTTGTGTCCAAAATGTAGTAGAAGTAACAAGAGAAATAGAAAACATCTATGTTAATGCAAAAGCATTAGTGCAGGTGAAAATCTGAGGGTGACGAGTATTTCAATATTTATATGAGACGGAATGCAAATGTTACATGTTAACCTGAAGGACCATTATATGGTATGGTATTTAGAAAAGGGCAATTCAAAATTGTGGAATTCAATTAATTTTGTTTAATTTAATTCTATTTAATTTTGTTTGGGATATACTCATCATACTATAAAAAAAACACCACAGATCCCTCTTAATTGTAGCAGTGAATGGAAGAAAAGTACTAGTACTGTCCTTAAGCACATCATTAGAATTGATGTGCTTATTTAGTTGTCATTAGCATTTAATGAAACCAAACAACGATGAAGCACTTGTCCTCCAACACGAGTAGTTATCTCATCAGCAGATAACAGGTGAGAGTGAAAAGAAGAAGCAATGTGATAACTTCCTCAATCGTTCATCATCAGCGCTTACAAGTTGCTGGCTGTCTTCAACGCATTACACAGGGAGATCAGTGACAATCAGTGGTAATCTTTGCCCTCCAAGTCAGTTAATCATTCAGGGAAAAGTCAAGGAGTTAAAAGCTTGTAAATGAAAAAACTCAGAGAGGATTCCACCATCACTGGAATCGCAGCATGGCTACCAAGCAGTCCGAGGGTGATGCACCCGGAGACGTGAGTGACGAGAGCCGAACATGTGGACTTCTGGTGAGGCTCAGGAAGTTCAAGCCCAAGGAAGTTTTCACCTGGTGAGTGGACACGGAAGATGAGAAGAAGAGGAAGCATGTTAGAAGCAGAAGTTGTTACCCTTTGAGCAGAGCCAAGCAAGTTGTTAATCATAACGTCAAACCTTTCCTCTGGAATTGAAGTCACCAGGACTGGTGGAAGAAGTATTCACAGCATTTTCTTTAGTAAATGTACTATGCTGAAAATACTACATATTTAGCACTTATCAGAAAAAATAATCAAATCAGTCAAACAAATGTAGTGGGCTAAAAACACATTGGAGTGTATAAAATAGAAAAAGTCACGCAAAGTACTTTTTTGTAAAGTAATTCTTTACTAAAGAACTGTATGTACTTGTTTTCCGCCACTGGTCACCGTGCTTAAGAATGCTTAACACGGACGACATTCCCAGGTGCCTGCTGGTGTTAAAACTGTGCCATCTCTCTCTCTCTCAGGCAGTTGGCGAAGACGTTGGCCATGGGTCAGGGTCTGGCTGGGCTCATCTGTGGGACGGCCATCTCCTCCCAGTATCTGGCCACGAGCTTCCATGTGAACACACCGATGCTGCAGAGCCTCTTTAACTACGCCCTGCTGTGTGTCACCTACACCCCAATGCTGTTCTGCAGAACAGGTAACACCCACACGTAGGGTTTTAACACCCGAGATTATACCTGAAACACTGGAGTAACGCTTGGTCAAATGATCAGCAATAATAATAAACGTTTTGGGTGGACTTGAGGGTGGCGTAATTTAAGTTATGTGCCCAAATTCTGACTGTAAATGATTGGCAACTGTGTGAAATGTAGCAAATACTTTTACGGTACTTGAGTTTATTTGATGCCTTAATGCTTCTACGCTTCAACTATTCGGTAGTAGAGTAGAAGTACTCAGATCCTTGACTACCTTTGTTTAACAATAACACAGTTTATAAATACTTTTTGAAATGGAAAAGTCCTACGTTCAAAATGTTGGATAAAGTAAAGAAGTATGAAATGTGCATTCTCATAATGCAAAATGGCTCCTTTCAAAGTTTTATAATGTTATATTGGTATTATATTATGTATTTATTTTGTTTTTATCACTAACAAATATGATTTAATCGTCAGTGTGATACCATACTTGCACACTTTCTATACTGCAGGGTATATTAGAAGCATAGTACTCCATCATGTTAAGTATTAGTTAATAACTAAAATGATTAAACAAACGTAGTGAGAGTAAATACGGTCAATACTGAAATCCAGGTGTTCCCCTTGAAAACGCAGGGGATGGCCATGTTTTACAGATACTGAAGAGGCGATGGTGGAAGTATCTTCTGCTGGGGCTGGTGGACGTGGAGGCCAACTACGCCGTGGTTAAAGCCTACCAGTACACCACCCTCACCAGCGTCCAGGTGGGTACTTACGTTATGTTTGTGCGGTTTTCATGGTCGGAGATTTGTAGAGAAAACAGATCATGTTTTCTTTTTATACGTAAGAAAGTGGCTCTGATGTTTTGGAACAACAAAATGTTGAGTAATTGCAAATCCATAAAAGTATGTGTTAATGTTATTTCCACAGTTAGATTTAAAAATATTTTGAATGTAAAAAAGCACAGAGGGGACTTGACTCTTTTAAACTATTAGTCTGGGATACATCCCTAATCAGCAACAACGGTGATGAGCCTGATCAAACCCCCCAGTGTTTTATCATTCATTAGTAGTGGAAACCACCAAAACAGCAATCTGGTGGAAAACAGAAGAATTTAAATTCAGGGCGCTCGATCGAAAGCCTCATATGATTGAGTCGACTTGGAATCCACAACCGTTGTCTGTGGCGACGTGGTGCAGGGGTAGAGCGGGTGCGCCGGAAACCACAAGGTCGGCGGTTCGAATCCTGGCTGCTCCATGTCCCATGTTGAAGTGTCCTTGAGCAAGACACCTAACCCCTAATTGCTCCCTGGGCAAAAAGCCATGGCTTAAAAATGCAATGTAACTTAGTCACATTGGATAAAAGCGTCAGCTAAATGACCTGTAATATATAAATTAGACATTTGGAGTTCAATTAATATTGAAACTTCCTTTGAGAAAATTCCACTGTTTTAATGAGTGATGACATACTGTGTATCAAAGTAGGTTACTTCAAATCATCACGTCCTCTGTTTTTTGTTTTTTACTGACCAAGTCCAATTAATCCAGAATCAGACCCACCTGCGGACGTGTAAATCAGGGGATCACAATAATTGTCTCCTTTTTAGGTGCTACTTGAGATTCAGTGTAAAGAAAGAGTTGACACCTTTCTGCCTCTATATCCCCGTTTGGAAGGATTACTGTTTTTACTGCAGGTATCAAGACATCAATTTAAGTTTTTTCTGATTTTCTGTCACCAGCTGCTGGACTCCTTTGTGATCCCGGTGCTGATGATCCTGTCTTGGTGGGTTCTGAAGACGAGATACGGTCCGGTCCACTACGTAGCCGTCTGCATCTGTCTCCTTGGGGTTGGGGCCATGGTGGGGGCCGACCTGCTGGCTGGAAGAGACCAAGGTTCCAGTAAGTTCTTCCTTCAAGTGCTCATCTGTGATGAGGGCCTGTGTTTATCAAACTGATACATTTTGCGTTTAAAAGTGTAAATCCTTCGCTTGGACTCCCCCTCACAGACTTTATGGAAAACGTATGTTTGAACAGCAAAGTCCGATTGGGGTTGTTGATGAATGCGAAATTAGTTGTATGAAGCTTTTGAAGAGTAACCCCGAGACAAACACAGCAACTTGTAGCAAATCTGTGTCATTTTGACAATATCGGGTTACAGAAATGTTTCTTGTCCTCCCTCGTCTCCTCAGCCTCAAACATCCTGCTCGGGGACGGCTTAGTGCTGCTCAGTGCTTCTCTGTACGCCGTGTCCAATGTGTGTCAGGAGTACACCGTGAAGAACCTCAGCAGGGTGGAGTTCCTGGGCATGGTCGGCCTGTTCGGCACCATCATCAGCACCGTCCAGATGTAAGTGTGTGTCCGTGTGATCGCGACTAAGCACTCGTTCAACATTGTGGCTAACCGGGAGTTTTGGGCTTTGCTTTGTGCAGGGTGATTCTGGAACGTAATGCAGTGGGGAACCTCCAGTGGAGCTGGCAGGTCGGTGAGTATCTGCAAATTTCCCCTCCGCTGCTTCAATTCATTGATTTCTCAATGCAAGACTATATTTGAGTCGAGATATTGTTTGAATACAGATATAAAGATATACAGATATAGACATAGATACAGATATAAAGTGTCCAGTCTTGTAATCTCTATTGTTTCTCCTAACAAGACTGAAAGTTGATCAGCGATTTGTCTTAATAACAAAGTTGAGCATGAATCAGGAATCAGGAAACATTTATTTGCCAAAATATGTCAAACATACAAGGAATTTGTCTTGGCGGTTAGTGCGCGACAGTAGACAGACAAGACAACAGTGCACAAGTAATAAAATAAAGTAGAATGAAATGATAATGCAATGGGTTAGTAGAATAAGGCTATGGGTTAGTATAAAACAAGGGAATAAAGTTACAAATTTGAAATATTAGAAAGTTAAAAAGAAAAATATTAAGCATAAAGTGCACTAACGAGTAACAGACAAGTGACAGAGTGACGATGAAGAGGCAATAGAGGCTAATCTTTAACTCACGTTGACCTCTGTTGACGACCTACAAGACCTAACTAAGGAGTCACAGAAAGACTCCAAAACTCACAGAAACACACCTAAAACTGTTTATCAAATTATAGAGAAATATTTCTGAAAAGTAGAAGTATGCAGTTCTATGAGTATTACATTACATTACAGGTCATTTAGCGGACACTTTTATCCAAAGCGACTTGAACGAACCAGCAACCCGGTGCACCCGCTCTACCCCTGCACCACGACGACGAGGATCTTGTTAGTTCGTTAGTAGGCCCGTTCCCATTCTGTCCAGGATTCAGCACAAGTTTTTTCCACGCAATGCAAAACCAGCAGCTTTTCAGAGGCCGCATACAGCCAACACAAAGACCAGAATGTTTTATATTTCTACTCGTTAAGTATAGAATTTAGAGTGACTAAACACCGCCGTCGGCCCATTAAAGGCCCGATATCTGCATCCTTGACGGTGGCGCGTTCCTTTCCCGTCTGCTCTCAGGGCTCCTGTTCTCTGCCTACGGGCTGTGCATGTACGCTTTGTACAGCTGTATGCCCATCGTGGTGAAGATGAGCAGCGCCACCGCAGTAAACCTCTCTCTGCTCTCCGCCGACCTCTTCAGCCTCTTTTGCGGAATCTTCCTCTTCCAGTACAACGTGAGCAGAGATACACGCATGCACACTGACACACACAAAGGGCGCTGAAGGTATAGTCCAAAAACGAATGCACTTTTTCCTCTTGTTTGAGTAACGGATGCTGAGCAACGGGCGGGTGTCCGGCGGTTTAGTTTGGTTTCTGGGGCAGAGGGCCACAGGCAAGTGTTGTCAGGGCAGATAGAAGTGAGGAACGTGTCTGCTGTAAATGAATGCAAGGGAGGCTTCGTAGTTAACTGCGCCTCTCTGGGTCACCGCGACTCTCTGGATGTTAAAGCGACACAGCATCGTAAATGAACACTAATCATTGGTAACGTGTAATCTCAATGTGTGTTTTCGCACAGCCGCATGCATATGCACACTTCATAAAGCCGTGAGTGCAAAGTCCTTTGAACCCCTTCACAACAGACAAACACTATTATTCAATAAAATAAAAAGTTTTTCTTCTCTGACAACAACGTTGGACCAGCAAGTGAGGAATATTAACTTGAATAGTATTTTTGCTGTTACTTAATTTGTGCTCCACCTCATTTGCACATTGCCTTCCATTTCCAGAGTTATTATTTGTTTCCTTTGTGGTTTATTTAAACTCAAGTATATTTACCTGGTTAAGAATTCTTTAAAAAGCAGATCCTCCTTTTCCCTTACAAAATGTCTGCTACTTCACTGAAAAGTAAATAACGTGTATGTTATGTGTATTTGCTTAAGGTTTCTTATTTGTGGAAGTTGCATACTGGAACGTAATTGGCTCCGATCTGGTGGTCATATTTAAACCCTGTAGGCGCCGGCAGGGTTTAATAATAACCCCAGCATATCAGAGATGGAGTGTGTTAATATTCCCTTACATCAACAGCACCGTTGTTCACATGTTCTCATTTCCCGCCTTAGTTCTCTGGGCTCTACCTGGTCTCGCTGGTGGCTATCCTCATCGGCTTCATCACCTTCAACGCCGTGCCAACACCCACTGAACCCACTGCCTCCTCTCCCTCCTCCATCTGTGAGGAAGGTTACTCTGAGGACCCGGCAGCCATCAGGAGAGACTTCCCCAACGGGGAGGAGGCTGTGAGGATCACTGCTGAGGAAGAGGCGCAGCAGGGCCGGGGAGGGCCGGAGGAGGGGTTGGAGGGAGAGCAGAGACAGAGAGGGAAGATCAGAGCATCAGGACAATCACAGGCTCTCGAAAGAGGGAGCGGCAAACAGGACGATTTTGCTGTCCGACACAGCACTAAAATGTGAACTACAGCATGGCAAACTGTCAATGTGTCATGTACATTGACACATTTATTTATTTATTGAAACGTGCAGGAGTCGGTTGGAATTAAACGGAACAGAACATAAGACAAATACTGGAAATCATCTGCGGCAAATTTTTGTGTTATATGAATATATATATACATATGTATGTGTAAAGTATTGTTTATTTTTTATTACAGGACTTTAAATGTGATTGAAGGTTTGCTTGGATCTGTTTTAACTATTACTACTATATAGAATTTGACATTTTAAAATGTGGCTAAAAAAATGAACAAATAATTACGTATTTGTCAAACGTGATTTACATAGCTTGCCCACATATTTTAAGCTAAAAGAGCTGACAAAATTCTTTCAATTGTTGTCAAGTTTAATGTAATGAGCATGCATGAGAACATATTACCACTTCCGGTAAATCCTTTCAAAATACACTGTCAAAATGTATACAACCACAAAGAGAGCCAGTAAATGAAGCGTTACATTTAGGTGAAGCTGTAAATGGCGGTAACGTTAGTGCTCCACCAGCACTGCTGTGAGCCGGTCCAATCCCGTCTCCCCATCACAACGCGTGACCACGTTAGTAGCAAAGCTAACACGACGCAACCTTAGCGCGTCTCCTTGCTCTCGCGCAAGTGTCGCCGCGTTGACGAGCGTTACGTCACGTCCTTCAGGCGGGGCGGGCGCCGTGTTGTTGCTGCCGTCATCGTGCGAGACCGTAAGACCTGTTCTCCGCCGTCCGGCCTGGATTAAAACCACGGGGATTTTCTGTTTGTTTACTTCATCGATTCAGCCAAAGGGTCCTTCTGTTTGCCAGTTGTGTTATTGAGCTTTTTCCGAGTGAGCATGGGGAGCTGCTTGACCGTCGGGCCGAACGAAGCCCTTGTGGTCTCCGGTAAGGTGTCCCCGGCTGTCCTCTGGGAATGAGGACCAGCGGACCCGCTGCTGTCCGAGCGGGGACGTGATTCCTTCGTGTTCGCGTGTGCGGTAATCGACTGCTTAGTGCCCACGGTGCGGAGCATCTGTTTGGACCGTTATTCGCGGTTTACTTGCCACCGTTATGCCGTCATCGTTACTTAACCGACCACACAGGCGTCACGACGCCTAAAATAAGCTAAAATAAGCCAATTATCAGTGCAAATGGAGTCATCGCTGCGGTCCGCGGGAGCCTCTTCGTGGAGGCCGTGCGGCTGCTCATCCTCCCGTTGATCTGCTTTAATGTCACGTTAATAATTATATCAAATAACATAATGCTGCCGCACAGAAGCCTCGTTAGCTCACCAAATGTTTTTGCATAACTAATCGGCGCCAGATACCAGTGGTCGAAAGTAACTAAGTTACGTTACTGTAACGGATTACTTGACTAATGCGTGTTTTATTTTGTGCATGCTTCTATTTCACTGCATTTCAGAAGGCAATATTCCACTGCATTCATTCACATTTTAAAATGATATATAAATACTTTACTAACGTAGCCAGCAGCATTTATGTTAACTTTCCTCAAATAGGTTCCAAAATGATAAATATAAGCATCAAAGTGTTCTTATATGTGCTGGCTAGTGATAAAAATATAATATTTGATATAATATCACACTTTGTAAGGACATATTCTGCTCGATTAGTACTTAGAGTACTTTTACCGTTGCCACTTCAATTTGCTGATAATGCATCTCTAGTTTAACGTATGTGACTTTTGAATTGGTTCTTATTTGTAATTGAGTATTGTTTACTTTTAGAAAGGATTTGAGTATTTCTTCCTCTACTGGCACTCCGGGTATCTTTAGGATTATGGCCGTGTTGATCTAAGAGATATTTAATTTCTCTTCTTTTCGTTTTTGTCTGAAACATTTTAAAGCCCTGAAAATGAAAAATAAATCCGTAATTCAAGAAGGAAACAATCCCACACTACAAAGATTGGTTTCAATCAATTCGACTCGCAGATATTTGTTGGACAAACCCTCAAGCTGCATGAATCTTGACTCAATCAGAAGACCTTGTGTTAATACAGCTGTTCTTCTCTCAGGTGGCTGCTGTGGCTCTGATACAAAGACCTACGCCGTGGGCGGCTGGGCTTGGGCTTGGTGTCTCATCTCGGACACCCAAAGGTAATAGCATTGTCAAAATGATGTGGCTCATTTATGATAACTCAAAAACAGAGCTGACTTTCAGTAGCTCCTTGAAACGCCTTCGTGCCAGCAAGATAAGCGGATTATGATATGAAAAGCCCTCTAATCAAACGCGTTAAGACCACAGCTGAAATGGGCTTTTCCCGTCTTAGAAGTCCGTCCCCTGATCCAAACCAGTGTATATTCACAAGTGGAGGAGGAAAGCTGGTCTGCCGTCCTCCATCTAGCGCTACACGTTGTTTTGTTGTTTGCATCACTGCAAAATATGCACCATCCTGTCAAAGGTGCCGTTTCACCGGACAGAGGCATTTATCAGGTAATTGTTTTGGCCACAGTTGTCGTTGGCCGGTCGATCTCTGCCAGGAGAAAAGATGAGCCTTTATATGTGGACCCCAACCTTTTACTCTGGATAAATATTTTAAAGATAGATAGATAGATAGATAGATACTTTATTGATCCCTCAAGAGGGAAATTTTGGTATCACAGCAGCATGTACAGGGAAGAAAATAGAATAAAAAGATACACATTATATACAATATAATAAGAGAAATATTAAATTATTAAATTAAATAAATGAAACAAAACATGCCCAAACAGTATAAAAATTTTAAATCTAACATTTTGTTGTAGGCTCTAGAAATGGATTGAGACAAATTTCCCTGATCATCAACAGATGGCCTGTTAAAGCGGAAAACACCTTTCTGGATGTTTATACACACACTGTTGTTCATTTCTGTTGCATTTAACATGTATGTACGTTTTAACCTTATAGCGTCACATTCCATGTATCCCAACAAAAATGAGCATTTGACATCCACAGATTTGATTGTGCTGTTCTACAGCTTCCTCTCATAACGGCATGTGTTGTTTGTAGGATGACCCTGGAGATCATGACTCTGCAGCCCCGATGTGAGGATGTGGAGACTGCAGAGGGGGTCGCCATCACTGTCACCGGGGTGGCTCAGGTAAGACCCAATGCTAGTGGCGCACGCACACACACACACACACACACACACACACGGAGCACGGCTGGTTGAGGCCAACCACTGAATCTCAATGTTTTTATTCTCACTCAAATGTTTCTTTAGTGCAGAATATTGGAAACTACTATGTGCAGACAGTTGGAATCTGACTGGTTTACTTGTTCTATGATCAATTCTAGTAGTTAGATATTTGTAGTTTATTCAGGCTAAGTTGTGCGGATGCTTGTTGTCGAGATGACGTTCAACCTTTGAGACCTTCACCCTCAAAGCAAAACAAGGCCGCCACCCTCGTCAAACACGAAAATAATTATTGATGAAAGCCGCTTTTGTATTTCTGAAGTGCAAAATATATATTTGCTACTTGCACCGAAATCAATGTATCTGCACTTGTATAGAATGCAAAATACAATAAGACCCAGCCCTTATCTTTGTCTTCCTCAGGTGAAAGTGATGACCGAGCACGACTTGCTGGCGGTCGCCTGTGAGCAGTTCCTGGGTAAATCAGTCATGGAGATAAAAGCTGTGGTCCTGCAGACTCTGGAGGGACATCTGCGCTCCATTTTAGGTACGGATATGCGTCACATTTAAACAATGCTGTTTGTTAATATTCAGAGACCTGAATTTGTTTTCTGACCGGCCTGTGTACATCATTTACTTGAGTGGTGTTCGAGCACAATGTCCAGAATATTTCCACGGTGCCGTATTTCAATTTCATCTCTTGTTTAAAAAAAACAAGTACAAGACTGCCGCTGGCTTGTGGGGAGTAGAATTTCAAACCAACTGACAGAGTCTCCCTTTGCCAGGAACCTTGACTGTGGAGCAGATCTATCAGGACAGAGACCAGTTTGCCAAACTGGTGAGGGAGGTAGCGGCTCCAGACGTGGGCCGGATGGGGATCGAGATTCTCAGCTTCACCATAAAGGTGGGTTGGCAGCCCGCAGGGTCCAGATAGGTGGTTGTCTCAGGATGTCTGATCCCATGTTGACCGTATTCTGTCGTAGGCCATAAGTGCTGCAGTTACGTTTACATGACATGAACATGTTACGGTGGATGCTGGCTTACAGCTCCTCGCATCGAGTAAAAGAAAGCGCTGCATTCCACTTGACCGTCAAAGACATCCACCCGAGCACATTCGTCCACGCGATCAGCTGAGGAAACACCAAGGTGTTTAAAAGGTCCAAAGGACATTCAGTCATTTCCAGTCAATCGGCATAAACTTTTAACAGCTGTCCCGCTTGTCTTCATAGTTCTGTGGTGTCCAACAAAGCTGTACGAATGTTTCAGCCATTTAGATGAAATCAAACAAACTCTCTTCTCGCACTAATTTTTGCTGCCATGACAGTAGCGTGACACATCACCAGTGACTCCAGCAGGCCGCTCGTGTTTATGGGCTCAGCGGTACTGTGGAGATCACACAAACGCGAGGCAGCAGCCGCCCTCATCTTGTTTTCAGATCCACCAGATATGTTTTTATCTGCCGTCGTGGCTGCTGCTCCTTAGAGAAGGCGTCTCTGGCTGCACTGATGGACTGGCACCCCCTCCTCATGTGCACTTTGCTGTTGTTTAGAACTAATTGAAGTGTGCTGGAGATCGCATCGCTTAGCTGAGAGCCCAGACTGCATGTGGTGCACATCAGGGAGTCCAGATGTTTTTTTTATGTGTTCGAGGAGGCCTTAGACATTTGTGGGTCGTCTTTATAGTGTTTTTCTGGTGTAGATATTATACGGAAGAACAGAACATTCCTTTCATGTCGTTTTTGGATGTAGCTGAGGCCTCGCAACCAATCATACGGCCCCTGTGAATGAGGCCTTTTGTCCCTGTAACTATTTCAGGGCGGATGTGGAAAATCAATAGGAATTTGCGGGTTGCGCGCCGAACAAATATTCCAATATCTGTGGTGAACCTAACGCGATATTCAGGCGTCCACTGCATACTTCTGATAAAAAAAGACGTTCATCCTTCCTGTCTGGAAACCTCTTCCTCACACCTGTTTGTGTGCGCTGGCAGGATGTGTACGACAAACTGGATTACCTGAGCTCTCTGGGGAAGACCCAGACTGCAGCCGTGCAGAGAGACGCAGACATCGGCGTGGCCGAGGCAGAGAGGGATGCTGGGATACGGGTAAGGAGGCTTTGGCAGGGGGGGGGGGCGACGTTGAGAGGTTGGATTCTGTCGCGCACAAGAACCCACTGCTTTACTTTGTTGCCTCAAAAGGAAGCTGAGTGTAGGAAGGAGATGATGTACGTCAAATTCCAAGCTGACACCAAGATGGCCGACTCCAAACGGGAGCTGGAGCTGCAGAAGGCTTCTTTCAACCAGGAAGTCAACACTAAGGTAAAGTCTGAACTGAGCAGGTTTCAGACATGATGTGTGCAGCCTCAGGCGCGTGTGTGTGACAGTCTCGTGCACTGACGTTTTCAGAAAGCAGAGGCCCAGCTGGCCTACGAGCTGCAGGCAGCCAAGGAGCAGCAGAAGATCCGCCTGGAGGAGATTGAGATCCAAGTGGTGCAGAGGAAGAAGGAGATCACCATCGGGGAGAGGGAGGTCGCTCGGACGGACAAGGAGCTCATCGCCACGGTCAAGAGGCCTGCTGAGGCCGAGGCCTACAAGATGCAGCAGCTGGCTGAGGGGCACAAGTCAGTGAGAAAGTCCTCTGCCAAAGTGACACGTGGATAGTTCTGTGAGCGTTTCCAACCAGTATGCCCTCATATCTACCACTAGAAAGCGCAGAGAGGAACGATCCTCATTGGAGATCCAAAACATCTGGTCAAGAGATCATATCAAAATGCAATTTAACAGCTCAGTTATTTGTTTCTCTCTTTATGACCACAGGCTTGTAACCTTTGTAGCCAACACACCGTGTGAATATGATTTGCTCGTGACAACAGTCCAAATGTAAAAGCAGTAAACATATTTGTAGGCGGAGGAGAAACATCTGGTTGCTGAAATTCCAGCTGAGCCAGAGTCATGCACAGGAAAAGGGAGTAAAGCGGCAGTAAAAATGGCACGCCCGTGTCCAATAAAGGTGTTTTTGAAGGCGCTTCTCCTTTATATATTTACTATTGTGTTTAAATTATATGAAGCAAAGCTATTTCTTATCCGATTACCTGATTAATCAAAGGAATGGTCTTTATAGTACTCGCTTGTGAAATGAATTGATAGCGACTGGCCTTTTGGTCACGCAGCTTCAATTCAATGTTACACTTTGGGTTACATTTCAGTGAGGTAAATGTTTTTAAATAGTTCTGCTGAAACCCAATTTGGAAATGTTGTATGATCAGAAGCAAGCACCATGTTGTGAGATGTATTGTGGGAATATATCCGTTACTGAAGCGTGCGTGTGTGCCCTGCATCAGGATAAAGACGGTGCTGATAGCACAGGCTGAGGCAGAGAAGATCAGGAGGATTGGAGAGGCGGAGGCGTGCTCCATCGAAGCAGTGGGCAAGGCGGAGGCTGAGAAGATGAGGCTGAAGGCCGAGGCTTACCAGCAGTACGGAGAAGCAGCCAAGACGGCTCTGGTCCTGGAGGCCTTGCCCATGGTAAAACACAGATGGGTTCCTTTAGGCTCCATAATGCACAGGCCTTTTACTGCTTGGAGTTTAGTTCAAGAGAACTCTTTGTTTTTGTTCCACTGGCTTGTTGGCACACACTCTTTGTAGAAATCGATGCCCCTCTCACATCTGCCGGTTAAATCAGTTACTGACAAGCAATGTTACCTTAGCTTAAAAAGATAGGACACATAAATCTGGCTATCAGAATCTTTAAATCTTTGGTTTATTTTAATTTTTTTTACACAAACACCCATAAAGCCGTAGCTTGATAGCTTTAAAAACTAGCAAGCTGTTTGTGATGTAAAAGGACACAGCGACATTGCCACAAGTTCTCGATGATTCATAGGTCCTTATCCTACGACCAGATCCCATGAGCTCGCTGTGTGAGCTTATTTCCTGCTTACGGTCAACATTTATCCGTGTCTTTGCAGATTGCTTCCAAGGTGGCGGCGCCGTTAGCCAAGACCGATGAGATCGTGATCCTGAGTGGGGAGAGCAGCCGCGTGACGGGCGAAGTCAACCGCCTGCTGGCTGAACTCCCCGTGTCTGTCAATGCTCTCACTGGAGTGGACCTGTCAAAGGTAAGCGTGGCTTTGTGACAACCTGAGTGGATGTGTTGTGTTACCAAACTATCAAATATAAAAGCAGTTATGGGAATCAGATCTGATAATGTGGTTTGGTTACTGACATGTGATGGCCCTCATTTTGGGACTAAACAAAAAGACTTAAATTAGCTTCTGTTTGTTCATGTACATACAGTAGTTTATTTTACTTTGCTGTAATCGATCGGGGCAACTTATCGTCGTGTCTACTAAAGGTGACACCATTTAGGAAGGAACCGGCTTACCGTCAAGGACACTGTACAGTTCTGTAATGCAAACATGCAATCAGATGGTGCATAGATGTTGGATTTTAGCACAGAAAAAGTCAGGCTTTAGGAAAATTCAGACCAGTGAATGTGGGGAAAAAGGAAAAATGCACTGTGGCTCAATTCTGGGAAATCCACAAAGGTCGTGTCTCCCAGCATCCGGTTGGATAATCCGTCTTGGTGTTTCTCTCCAACAGATCCCGTTCCTGCAGAAGATGGCCAACGCTCATGCCTAAGATGACCACACACACACACACACACACACACACACACGATTCCAGTGTCCGTCGTCCGCACTCTGATGGACAGCCTTTAATACACTTGAAGAATTCTTTTGTTTTCTACGTACGAATATACTGTATACCAAGTGAATTGGAAACCTCTGGTGCCTTACTTTATACAGGGCCAGAATATCTGAACGCACTGCTGCTCACGCAAAAGATTTCCATTTTTTTTATTTCAGTTTTAACAGGTTTTTTTGTGATTTAATTTATTTTGTATTCGGATTGTTTACATTGAATCCCATGGGAGAGGAGAGCTGCTGTTACACTGGTGTGATGGCTGACGTACCAGCTGTGTCCCCCCAACACCTCGTCTATGGGGTCTGCGCTCTCACTTCTTACACTCTGCATGCGGCCTTCTTCATTTGTACGCCTCTGTCTTTACTGTACGACACGTCAGCTATCGCAATCTTTTTCTTCTGTATATTGTACATGTTGTAATTTGTAACTATTTATGTTATTTTACGCGTTGACTTTTTTTGTACAATGTCAGAGGTGCTTGAAATCTTATAAGAAGACCCCCCCTATCTTGTGCAATTGCTGTTGTTGGCCCTGAAATATGTTTAATCCTCTAAAAACTGTTGATATCAGGCTCTACACATAATACATTATTCATATGCTGGCAGGGAAATGGGATGCAAAATCTGATCGGAGCTTGTGGTCCTATGATATTCATAGTAGGTTTAAATATAAAGTTTAGTATTCTTGGCTTGATTATATTTTTTTAATGATTTGGTGTTTTAGGAATTACAGAAAACCGTGGGGGAAAAAAAGCTTTCATTTGTCAAAGAAGACCAGCTTAGAGTTGTCTTTTAATTTTCATATTATGAGAAGGACTTGTGGACAATGCATAGTAGCTAATCAATAGATATCCGTAGATGCTAAGAAGCCATGTCTGACACGGAGCGTCGACCAACCTTTCATAGAAACTTTGTCTTTGATGTTTGTTTTCTCATAACTGACAGGAAATATAGAAGGATCTTCTACTTTTAACTTATCAAAAACGTGTTTTATCTACTTAATTGAGTGATGCCGATGTTTGCAATGGTCAAGATGCTTTGTTGTTTTCAATGTCTAATGCACCAAAATTTTAAGTGTCAGTGCGGCATTAGAAACGTTTTCATGGAATTGAAAAAATCTGCCATGAAATGTGTTTCACCCACTTAGACACTTCCAGAAGGACTGAATCCTGCTCGTCTCTTCTCCTGCTGTGAAGAGCTGCACTCACTCACCCCAAACTAGCAGGACAGCGCTCATTAGTTTTTAGACACAAAAATAAATGGTGGTAGTTTTTATGTGCGGCTGAAGAAACAGACAGTATGGGCGTCATGTTCCAATAGGACTGTTATTAGTGTTGTTAATATTATTTGTATTGGTGCTCCTGAGTTAATTTTATATTTATGGCATTCTTTGCTGATATAGTGACTCGACAAATACTGTGACCACAATGACTTGTTTGGCTGCAACTGTGTCGTGTGTGTGTGTGTGTGTGTGTGTAGAGAAATAGATATATCTATATCTATGGATATAGATATATGCAATTTACATATTGTGTTGTATTTCCTAATGTTATTTACAACACTCCAACGACAGTGACTTTCTGTATGCTCTTGCTGCATGTCATACACCTGTGCTCTGAATAATCCTTTCTCTGATCTAATTGTCATTCTAATAAATTGAAAATTCCATGATATATTTTTTTATTTATCTATTTACAGTTGATTCGAAATTCACATTCTTCTCTGACTCTACTTGAACTTGCAATGAAAAATGTGTTGAACACTTCCTTCACCATTGCCTACTCATAGTGGTTGGATTTAAGTTAATTCAATCAGGTACTGTACTTGAATGTTTCCAGCCTGTCATCCCTCTTTAAGCCAATATTGTACTCTTTACTCCACTACTTTTATTTGATGACTTAAATGATCTTCTATTGAGGTTATTGATACAACAATCACTGAACCAACACATTATAATATTTCCTTTACATTGAAGAAAACATAAATGCATCAATAACCATTAAGCCTAATTCAATCCCCAGTGTTTCATTCTGAAATGGGCAATTCTGCACAATGAGCATCGTAGCTATTAGTAGTCAGTAATCTGACGTTAATTAATGTACTACCCTATTTGAACGCCGTACTATTACATGCAACATTTGGTGTTGCCATTTTTACATAAGTAAACTATCTGAGTGCTTCTTATAACACCATCTACTACGCTCTTGAGCTTTTTTATACTCGTGGCTTTAACGTTATGACATCCCGTCTCTGGAGTTATTGGACAGGCGTTTAGCGTCGACGCCTAAACGCAGGGACCGGAGGTCCTGCTGGCCCTCTGCGCATGCGCGACAGACGTTAGTCTCCGTAGCCAGACAGCAGCAGCTCGGAGAACCAACACCGGGGATGTTCTCTTCATTATTTCTCAAAAACAATATAAAGACTAAATTTCAACACAATGAAGTTCCCCTACTCATAGATTCGTGAGGAGTAAGTATCATGCTCTTACATTTGAGTTGCGTCGGTGTTTCACCGTCAAGGAAAAGCTAAAGTTTGCTAACCAGCTGGCCTGGTCACAATAAGCACAAAGAAGCTCCTTATTTATTGTCACTCCTGCTGATCTATTCAGCGATGTAATCTTCTGATACCCCGCCACGGCCTGTAAAGCTCGTGTCTGCTCGCAGAAACAGCCCCGCTTCGTGTATTACGTGTGTGCTAGCGGCAGCTAGTGAATTACAGCAGATTGAGACCGGGTTGCTAGTCGGAAGGCTAACGTTGTCTCGCTGCAGACAGGCTGTCCCAAAGTGGACCGACCTCCCTCATGGGGCTCAATTAACTGCGATCCGACACGCCCGGTGTTCCGGTTAATTCAGGGGGCTAGCTGAGGACCACCCGGTAGATCCGCTCGGTAGGTGTGACACGTCTGTAGAAAAAGTCATAATCATTATCGAGTCCGCGTAGATGAGGATCCCGTGTTCCCCGTAGACTCACTGCGTCCTGCTGAGGGGTAAAACAACCCAGCACGCCCGCGTCAGTGTGGAACCACTGGTCTGTATTTGCATTGCGATCCGATAAAGAGCCGGAGGTTGCGTCGGATGGTTGAACACGTAGAAAGCGTTCGACTCTCTGGCGGACAGTTGCTGTCAATTCTCAGAAATAGACAGAGGCCTAAAGCTAAAACCAAGCACAACAAAGCGGGTCAAACGTACAGATACAGATTCAGAGAGAAACAGCTAAACGATATTTGCCAGCAGTACTGGAAGGAATGTGTACATGACAGTGTACATGTACACAGAAAAACCTCCAGAGATAAGATTCCACCATTATGACGGTCGCGTGGACGTGAACTAATGCTGACTCATAAACCGTCTGCAAACCTGTGATGAATCTGCGAAATAATATGTGACGAAACCAAAGGGTTTCGTCACATAGGGCATTAACGCCACAGCTAAGGCTTCTACAGATTTCTATTTCAATTCCTAGAATAACCTCGTTTGGCCATTTAAAGCTGCTGTATGATTTATTATTTTAAGTAGATTTGAAGAACAAAAAAAGTATTTTAATCTGTGTGTGTTTGTTATTTTTGTTAAACCTGATGTCACTTTTCACGTGTAAGAATAATCCGCCCCTTCCACACAGTGAGGCATACTTCTTATCAATGAAAGCGCCGTCAGATCCGAACTCAGCCCACGTATCTGTATTGCAACTGAAAAAATTGAATCTGCGCCCTTACTGGGGTACAATCTTTATGACACACACGTCAGATAGGGTGCACACAGCCAGCTTCACTCCGCCGGCTGCTGACTGGTTCCTGCTGTTTGTCCCGCAGTATGGTGAGGAGAAGGTGTCCCGTGCTGCATTAGCGTCAGAGTGATATGCTGGCCTGTCTGCCGGCATCAGGTGACCCTACCGCCAGACTTCTCCCCCGCACGCAGATGAACACTGGACTTCAGAAATGTGAGTCCCTCTTCCGCCTTGTTGTGGCCATATTTGCCGTTCGGTTGTGATTATGGAACATGGTGTCACAGATTGACCCTAAAAGCTTCCGTTGAAGAGCCATACAATGCTTTTATAGTGTAAACGTAGGCTGCCGGACAGCTTGGATAATAGAACATCTTCAATAACTCCAGCTGTACTCTTAAAAACATCAACTTTGCCATATTTGTGCATTTATACTAAAAAACTACAATTTCATACTGTTTGAAAGTTGAGAATGTCTGTTCCTTGCTGGGTATTAGTGTTTGTCTGACCTCACCTTACACACGTTGCAGGGGAAACTACACAGAAGATGAGATCTGCCAGCTATCCAACCCCCAGCAGAGTTGGATGCCTATGCTAAGAAAGTTGCCAACAGCCCTCTGACCATTCAGATCTTCCCAAACAGTGTCAAAGTACCTCAAAGGAAGCACATTCGCCGCACAGTCAACGGGCTCGACACGTCCTTGTCCGGCCAGCGCCACAGTCCCTACCCGTCTCAGGTCAGCTCCAGTCAGGGTCTGCTGGCCGTTCTCCGCGCGCCCGCCAAAGGAGTCGTCAAAGAGTCGGACGGCAGCCGCACCAGGCACTTCCAGAAATCCGCCATGAACCCTCACAGCGGGGCGTACGGCGCTCAAAGCACTTTAAATCTCTCTCAACCAGCCCCTCACCTACAAGGCCCGCCTCAGAAGCAGTGCATGGTTCACCCGCAGTCGCTGCAGCAAAGCATGACTCATGCGATGACTTTACAGCAGCCTCAAACCATGCCACACCCGCAGGCTGTACAGCAGAGGAGCTTGGCTCATTCGCACGCTCTGCAGCGGCAGCAGAGTTTGTCCCAGGTCCTCACTCCTGAGCAGAGATTGACTCACCCGCAGAGCATACAGAGGCAGCAGAGTCTGCCTCACCCCCAACCGCAGCAGCACCAGATCCAGCCTCATCCCCCGGTCGTACCACAGCAGCATCTTTCTCACCTGCAGACGCTGAAGCATCCGGCGGCTCCTCCGCAGGCTTTACACGCACAGCAGGGACGGACTCAAGACCTGCGCCACATGTCCGACGGGGCCCAACTTCCGAGCATGCAGCACGCCCAGGGGCTAGGCGGCCCGCAGCCCGCCCCCCAGGCTGCGGGCACGGCACTTCAGACCAATAGCCTTCAGCAGCCCCCGCCGGGGGCGTACGGGCTCCGGAAGCCCCCAGATGCCGACGCCCCACCAAATGTAACTGTATCTACCTCCACCATCCCGCTGTCAATGGCGGCTAGCCTGCACCAGAACAGGCCGAGTGACCTGAGCAGCATCGTGCACCAAATCAACCAGCTGTGTCAGGCACGGGCCGGTATGGGCTCCACCTCCGTCTGCGAGGGCCAGATCGCCAACCCCAGCCCGATCAGCCGCAACCTGCTGATCAACGCCAGCTCCAGGGTGTCCTGTCACCACCCGGCCCTGGGCTCCGGGCCCAGCTGCCTCATGGTGGGACCCTCGGACAAAGCCTTGGCTCAGACTCCCATTGCTGCACTCCACACTCTGCCCAGTTTAGCTGCAACTAATAGCATACCTGCCTTTCATGCAGACCCCGAGAAGGTACAAATGCAGCAGCTGCAGCATTTACATCAGCAGAAACAGCTACAGCTGCAGCAACAGCAGCAGCAGCAGCAGCAGCAACAACAACAACAACAACAACAACATTTACAACATCTGCAGCAGCTGCAGCAGCAGCAGCGCTCCTGGGCCCAGCATCAACTGGCCCACATGCAGCAGCCCCCCGAGGGGGCCCATCCCTGCAAGAACCCAAGGATGGAGCCTCCAACCGAGTGTGCTTTTCCCTCTCGAAACCTCAACTATTCCCACAAGCTCCCCAACGCCGCACAGTCCTTCAACCTGAAGCACGCCTCAGACAAAGGCCGGCCGTCGTCCCCCATCAACTGCCCAGTAGGTTCTATGCCTTACATTAATGGCCACTACATGCAGCCGCCGTGGGGCGGCATTCCGGCCACAGCGGGTAACACTGGATCCGGCCCTCAGGACCTCCCCGGAACGTTCCAGGGAGTGCAAGTCGCTGCCTCCGCAAACCGCATCCCGGGTGCAAAGTATCGGCCAGGCAAAGAGGGTCCTCCTGACCAGGCCAAGCTGATGCAGAATGTGGATTTCTTAGGGGGCGACTTCCAAATGCCCAGCTTTCAGGAGCAAAACATGGGTGTGATGGAGAAGATGCACAGGTCGGCCATGGGCCCAGTTCAGGAGCCCAATAATGGCAGCGGCGTTCACTCCCATCACCCGGGCTACCGTTAAACCCCCTCCCCTTATTGTGTTTTGAGCGCTATCTCTATAGCTCCTGTAGTTTATACTCTTAGATCTTGCAAGTGATCAATTACACTTTAGTTGCTCCAGAGCTCGATTTGTAGACCCCATCAGGTTGTGATGTTTCAAAGTATTCCTCAGGTCTTAAGCCATGTTGTACCTTTGTTGCAGATGAAGGTTTTTTTGTTTTCAGATTGTTGTCCACTGTCGAGTAGAATTCCACTTCTTTTATTACTGGCATGGATGCGCTGCTTTTTGTTCAAGTATACATTATGTTCTAAAATATTCATTTGCAGATGAGAAGCTTGCCACATGGCTGTTTCCTAGGTTAACATGTCAAAATGTTTTTTGTTTTGTTTTTGTTTTTTAGCTTTTGTGTCCTTACAACTGGCCAAAGGCAAGATATTAGGATATCCTTGTGTGGTGTTTTTGGTTTGTTGCTATTTATCCTCTTGTGATCCATAAGTTACATGTATATGCAATTAATAAGACTGTTGATAAGGCTTTGGTCCCAGAGGCTCCCTCTCGTGTTTTGAGGTTTACACTTATAAGCGGGGCCCTGCTCCTCCATCAGGAATACAACATGGCTTCTGAACTGCACCGTTGGTGGTGCAGCTCATTTTTTTTTCTGCATGGTTCACAGTACACATACACGGCTCACTAATCTGATAAAAAAGGTGACATGGCTAATACTAGCATAACGACAGTAACCTTCTTCCTTTTGTTAACTCTTTGTTCGGTAAGTCGAAAGGGCCCTCGTGTGTGCGTGTGATATCTCAAGAATGGCGTTGGAAGAACTCGTTTTACCAGCTCTATTTGTTGCGTTTCTATAAACATCCCACTTGAACGGTAGAAATTCTTTCCTGGATGTTAACCTGTCATCTGGCGAAAGAAGCACAAACTCCCTGAGCCCCTGTTTGTCTGTATCCAACGTGTCGGCATGTGATTGATCACTTGCAAGCGTGCGAGTACTCAAAATAATGCAAGCTGGGAAGACGCTTTCCCCTGAAGTGGTGTGGACGCTCCTCCTGGTCCTCCGCCCCGCCGTGGCTCTGCTACCTGTAAAGGCAAAGCGAGGACATTTAAAGCTTGCCAAGTCCAGCAGGAAGCTCTTCAGGTTGATGTTTTCGGGGGAACAGGTTGCTCCTCATGCGGGGGTGGTGGGGCTAAAATGTCACAATAGATATCCTTTACTTAACACTTCCCTTAACTGACTTCCTTTACTGGGATCCCAACTTGTTTGTGGCCTCGTTGTGCGAGAGAGCGTGTGTTAATTTTTATTTTTCCCAGGAGCTTATTTGGCATTTAATGTGTATAGGCAAAGGAATGGGTGGTAATGTCTTGGATTTAAACATTAAGGTAATCATGCTACTCATACTTGATGAATCACCCATCCTACTGTCTCAAATGTTGCCTATCAAGGATTTTTAAAATATGAATAGTGTTTAGCAGAATGACTAGGTATGTAGAATTGGGTTGTAGCAGTTATTTTAAACTATTTGTACTGTTTTTTTTTGTTTTTTTTATAGTTATGCTTAATAAATATCCTGATATAGTTTAATTTATTATTATTATTTTTGGACCGCTGTGTCCTGAAGCCATAGGTGTTTTCACATTAGGTGCCATAGGTGGGTCACACAGACGCATTGTGAACTTAGTCTGCCCTCTGGACGTCTAATAAGAGCTTCGCAGCCGTTACTCGGAGCGTCTTTCACAGCGCTGAGCGTTCTTCTTCTTCCTCCTCCGTTCTATGAATTGTCCTCGGAAACACAGCGCTGGCCAATGGGAGGCAGAGCGGCGAGGACGATGCCCAGACAGTGAGCGTAGGTGCAAGGATTTTCTGGTATTTGGTCTTTATACCTAATGGCAGTTTTATTTTGTTTTGGTTCCCTGGCTCTTGTTTTTGATGTGCCTGCCCCTTAAAGCTGCTATAGACTTTGAAACTTAACATACACTAGTCTAATTTGTGTAGGCGTGTGTGTGAATAGTAATGATGTATGAGCTCTATCAGTGAAAATAAGTTCCTATTTATGTGGTGAAAATTGCCACCACTCAAATGCTGGAAAGTTTTCTTTATTCCAAATATATCTAATAACTGACCAGTATTTGGAATGGTTAAGTGATTTTCAGCAGTTGGACGTGTGTGTGTGTGTGTGCGCGCTTAATCAACACTAATCAATGCGACAGACCTGCCCTGTTTATTTTTGAACTGCCTCGTTACAACCCGACAGTCAGGTTCTACACTTTCATATGAAGTGCCTCCACTGGTGGGTGTGTGTGGCGTGGGTACTTGCACACAGGTGTGCGCGCGCCGGTAAAAACGTGCACAAGTTAATCTCTGACTGGGGACCAAGCTACTTAGTTATAACTACTGATACTGTGTAATGGACTTGAAGTCCTGAAGTGTGCCACGCCGGGACGTGTGAACTGTTTGCTGCTGACTCACCGACCAAAGCGACCAGGCGTGACCTCTGTAACCACCCCGGCGAGCTTGTATCGGGGACGGATGGTGACGAGCAACAACCCGGTGACATAAGGAGAGCCGCTGCCCTCGGTTGTCACGGTTACATCGAATCTTGTGAAGTAAATGTGTAAAGATGTGAACGGAGCGTTAAAAAAAGAAAAGAAATCTAGAGTGTGGTTCCTGTCTGCACCCCCAATTTGGTTTGGGCCAAGCAAGGGTCGGATGTTTTAAACGGACCTTTGCATGTGTTGTGGTTCCATTTCACAATGTCATCATGCAGAAATGTCGCAGTACGCGTGGACGTGCACTGTAAAATCCATCCAGCTGTCTGATGGCAATACTATTGGGACGACTCTGGATTTGCTTTTACTCTGATCTGATTGTCTTTGATTAATTGAAGATGTATCATGTTGTGAACGGTGGTGGAGGGGGGCTTGCTTTCTCTACTTTGTGAAAATGTGATATTCCAGTTTTGCCTAACCTTCAGGAATAAAAATGTCTTGCACAAACATTCCCCCTAACCAAAATAAAGTTTGCAAACACAAAGCCTTTTATGAGACTGTCTTTGCTATGAACACATTTATATTGGGAAAATTGAAGTGCTTATTAAGCAGCTCATTAGAATTATACCTATATAAATAGTAAACAGTCGCGGCTGGTAGATTTTTTTTTTTTGGTAGAACATGTACGTATATATTGAGATGCACCTATGAAACTAGTTTGATTGGGAAACCAGATTGGCATCAGTGTGGTGAGGAAAGACCAACTCAAGCACCACCAATGAATTATTTTGGATAAAATGTCACTCTTCTCATCCACGTCCTGGTTGTGTGTCCTCACTGCTGCTTGTGTGTCCTGATGTATTAACGTCATGATTGCAGCAGGTGCAACACAGCTGCATGAGGCACGAGAGCATATCGTTTATCTACCGTGTGACAGAATATATTAAGTTGACTCTTTTCTGTGTAAAAAAAAAAAAACCCAAATGAAACGAATCAAACCATCTCCTGTCATTTGCGTAAGAAAATGAAGTCACGTGTCTTCAGCTCAATGACAAACAACACCAAAGGAATGCCGCTACGCCCTCGGTTTACAACTTGGAAGTGCAGGCGGGAAGAGTCTCACATGAACATAGGAATATAACATGACTTTTCCAAAACTTGGATTTTATTTTTTTCCATGACTTTTCCAGGCCTGGACCATTTAACACTTTTCCAGGTTTTTCCATGACCGTACCAGAGTTATTTGCGATGCAATACAGCTGCACCTTTTGTACAGATATATGCATTGTACAAACAACAGTAGTGGCTCTGATTTGTTCAGTCTCACAGAGAGGCTGAATAGGGAAGATAATTTGCAGACGCGCTTCCTTCAATGAATTCCTCATCCAGTAACTGCTTTTCTTTTGCTTATTTAGGTATTTTATACAATCAAGCATCGGTGTAGAATATTTCAACATAGTTTTTGCGGTCAACAAAATATAAAACTGTCTCTCACCCCCTCTATTTTCCTAACCAAACTTGGAAGACACACCTTTATCCGCATTAACGTGCCAAACACCACGTTACTCAACTAACGTAAAGGAAAGAAAAAGGGGCGTACCAGGTGGCACCAACAATACCAGGCTCCTACAAACAGTTTAACCAGCGGGCACATAAGCCTGTTGTGCGGAGCACTGACAGACGTCTTGTTGAGCTGGAGTTAGCACTTAGCCATCGGTAGCCTCTGGATCGCAGCAGCATCAACCAGATGTTCTCTTTGTGCTGCAGTACAGGCCGATGCCCCAGTAAGTTCTGTACAGCTGGTTGAACTGCTGCGGCTGCTTCTCGTGCTCCTCTACTTTGTTCCAGGCTTCAAGGACCTCGTTCATCTGCTCAGCAGAAAGAGTCAGCTTGTCTGATTTATAGCACAGCAGAACTTTTCCAGCCTTTCGAAGCAGGTGTTGGACTGTTGACAAGCTAACATATAAAGTTATAATAATAAGCAGGGCAGGATGGCACGAGCCTCCCCGTCGCTCAGGTACGCCTCGTCGGCCCCTGGATCTGGATCGGGCTGCCCATGCTGAACCTCCTCCTCTGGACAAGGTCCATCATTGACGGTGTCCTTTAGAGAGAAGGGTCCGTACCCGTGCTCTGCCTGAACGGGTATTCCAACCACAGCAGCTGGTCAGAGGGACATTGGCATGGCCCCGGACATCCTCGTCCAGTCTCTCCAAACCGAAGCCAGCAGCAGGTGTTGAGGCCGTCCTGTGGTTCCGTCCTCTGAGGCCAAACACGGCGTCTGAGATCCCGTTGGTATTCCACCGAGCAACGGCGCTCATCAGGTGAACTTGAGGGGGCTGTTCTGCACAACGGGGACCTGAGAAAAGGAAAAACTTTAATGCCAATTTGTCTTGATAGCTCAAGCACACAGCTGGTACACGTCACGGAAAACCCTTCATCTTGAGCTTCAACGTAACCAAGTACATTTGATCCAATACGGAACTTGAGCCAACATTAGCTTATTTCTTTTTAAGCTACTTTATACTTATATACCAATACATCTCATAGGACAGAGGTCACCAACCTGCACAGTGGACCATCTTTCAAGGTAAACACCTCTTATCTTGGAGCTTGAGTGATAAATGGAAAATAAAAAATGTGGTAATATATAAAATGTGCATCACGCCCCATTACACCCTTTCCCTGCAGGGGGCTGAACATAGTCTGCAGACCTCCCCCTCGGTAATTCATCAATGGCTAAATCCCCCAAAAAGGAAACTGGTTCCTTTCTGTGTAGACGGACTCATTTCCGTCACCAATTATTCTTCTCGTGAACACTTGTAACACATAAGACATTTGTCACTCAGACTGTTACAGTACTTTCATGATGGTGATCAAGTCTTCAAACTAGACAACTGCTGCTAGTTTTGTGTCAGTTCACCAGATAGCGAGGCGTGGAAGACCACTCGCAGATAGAAAATACATGGAGTCGTTTGTTTAAACATCTGAGCAGCTTTTCTCTGACTTTTATGTTCAGATGCTTCGGTTGATGCTGTAATAGAAAATACTTTATTCTTACTTCAATACAAACTGGCCTTCTTTGATGTTTACTCTTTCATGTTAGACTGCAGCTACATGTTAGATGTTTCCATTTTCCACAAATTTGGGGCAGACTGAAGGTCTGCATAAGAGTTTAAAAGTCTCATAACAGGAATAATGGAAATAACGTTAACAATTGTCTTTATTCTATAATTCCATCAATATAGCAAACTATAATTTTGAGATGTAAAACTTTATAATGAAATATGTATAAGCCCTGATATTAACCAGAAGGTATCTTCACTGGCAACAAAACATCACTGGAAAGCTGTAAGAACAAGATATGTTTGAGGAGCCTTCCAGAGACTTGATGCAGAGCAGCACAATAATCTGCTTCTCTCATCCTGAATTACTAATGTATTTCCATTTACATGTTATCAGGGGAGAGCGCGAACGCAGTCCCCCACTACCAGAAATTATGCAATCGAGATTCCCACATTTGGGGAATTCGCAGAGGTCAGCTCAACCGGAGTGCAATGGCTAAGCCTCGCCCTGGGTGAACCACCTTCTTGATCATGGTATCTCCCTTGCCAGGTAAGTATGAGTTGTACACATCAGAGTCAGGGCAGTCTTTCACACACACACCAAGCTGACCGATGGTGCCGACCATCACGACAACAACAAACACAACACACACTAGAAGAGCTCCAACAAACTGCAGGAAGTTCATGTAGAGTAAAGTCGTATTTACCAGGGGGGACAAAGATAATATACATTTTACTTGATAAACGATGCTCTCATTTCCCATGATGCAATGCTGTATTTTCAAAAGAAAAGACAACCTAAAATCGCCAGCTGCATCTATTTATCTCCAACAAATGAGTGACAATTCAACAGAAGGTTCACATGAGACAAAGCAAAACTGCAATCAAAAGTTATTTGTTCCTCATCTGGAATTCAAAGGAAAGAATAAAATTACAAATGCGTTCTTTCATTTCAACCACTTCCTGTTCTTTTGTTTACCGCTTGTGCTCTACTGACACACTGACACCTATTGGTCTGGAGTAGTAGTCACACTACACGTTTCTCATAGATACAATTCAATTAAGAACTGGACATGATTGTGTGACACCCACCAATGTGTTTACACAGGTGTGTCAATGTCTGAAGTGAACAGTATATTGTATAGAAATGTTATAACTAGAACTGAAATACCTTGTTATATTGAATGTACATTCCACCCTATAGCCAGCAGGGGGCAGAGTGGCGCTCTTTTTTGCTTTAGACTGGCTTTACGGCAGTGAAAGAATTTGCGACCACAACGTCACGAGTGACGTTTCCTCATTCTGCTGAGCGAGGCGCAATGACAGACGTGTAAGAGCTGTGTGTCATTTGTGTGTCCGGTCTACAGAATCACATCATCTACTACTCTGATACAGATCAGACATATTGAAGAAATGGCAACGGATTGAAGATTAATCTTTTTGATGATAGCATTTACCGTGCTATCACGGTGATAACAATCTCCCTCATCTATCCTCTGCAGTCTGCACTTTAATAAAACCTCGGACGTTCTGTCTTGATGCCATAGAAACATGCATCAAATACACCAACGCACACTGTTACTGGGGAAGTTGTTTTAGACACCTTTGGGGGGTGCACCGTTCCTGGAGGTACTGCAATACCAGGTCGATGCGTGGAGTGGACGGAGCAAGCCCCTATTCCATCTCCCTATTCCAAAAATCAATTTAATATATGGTCCCCGGGTAGGGGACGTATCAGATATTAAACTGATAAGAACAGATACTACACTTGATCTTAGCCAAAAGGCCGAGAAGCGATAGCGACATCATGTCGGAGATGAGGAAGTCATTCCCCTCACTGACACTCTCACGGATGGTTTGCGGACTGAACTACAACTTTATTAACCCCAAATAAAACAATAAGAGTGTAAAATAGCGACAATGTACCACCGGTACGATTTTGTTTGCGACATTCACGCTAAACGTGTGTTTGCAAATGCGTCTCCTTGTTCACTTCCGGACACGTGGTGCGCGTTAGTCCAATGCGAGGTAACGTTACGACGCCGATAAATATCACGTCTAACTAGCAGACACAATTAAATATCAATTATCTTTATACGAGTATCGGTATATGCTTTCCTAAACGGCGTCTAACGAACCTCGTCCGTCTGGAAGAGAAACGTTTTAACGCTTCAAAACTCCTTCACGGTCACCAGCAGAGCGTCTCTAGTGGGAGGAGAGCGAACAGCACATTTCACGTCTCACACCGACGATGAAAACCCTCCGTGCTCCGTGTACGGAACTCACCCAGAGGACAGAAACCGCGGCCACAACGGAGAGGAGACGTGTGGTTTACATTACACGTGCAGTCCACACTGAAGTTACAAGCCGCTGTAAAAGCAGGATAAGTGCGCAGTAATTACTATGAGTCCCGCTACCTCGACGGGAAAAAGCGCTGTAACAAAGGCGAACAACGTTAGCGGTGTCCACGATACCAGCACAC